TTAGTTTAAGTTTTCGTGAATAAGGGCCCAGGTTTTAACAAGTCAGTTGGTGAGGGATTTAATGATGGTACAATCAGATTAAGGCATGATCTATTGGGGCTGCATTTCGGAACTCCTGAGATTAAATTAGAATTTGTGAATGTTGAATCGTTAAAGTATAAATACTCTAAATAATCTATTAATGGCGGCCTAAAATATTTCACCCGGCTCTGAATGGTGAAATTGACAACGATAATTGGGTCATTATGTATATTAGAAAAATGGAGATAAACCCCGCGGCCTTTGTATCCGCGTTTGACGAATTAAATTTCATTTCACTGATCAAATTTTTCACAGGTCACTCAGTTATTTATAGAAAAAAAAAGTCACATGACATGCACGTGTGTGATAGTATAATCTGTAGTTTAAAGGGCAGTGTTGGTGTCATAATAAGTTTAAAGGAGTGGTCTCGAGATATATTTTAGTGAATAAATCTGGTATATTATTGTGTGAAATCCTCTTTGAAATCCTAATCCTTGCCATGGGCAACTATCGGATTTGTTGCCTATGTATTGATCTAAATGGTGTAAGTGCCTGAATAACAGTGTTTATATAATTGCAGAAGTTGTGGTCAAAGACTAATTGAACATTGAAATTCATCCAATAAATAATCCATGAAACAAACCTTGCGACCACATCCAAATGACGTAATATTTTGAGATGAAACTTTCAGACAAGCTATTTCATCCCATATGGACGTATATTGTCGTCGCACTTGTCCATCCACAATTTGTCTGTGGACACTATACAGGTCACAATTTTTATCCGATTATGACGAAACTTAAAATATAGGTGTATATCTCCCAAAGGTCTCGGTTTCTTTAGAGGTCTCAGTCGCAGCAGAAGAATAGGACGTTAAACCCCATTTCACTTGAAATGTATGTTTATTATCCATGAAATGGGTTTCTTTTGATATTCGCGCACTTCGGGCAGTAACTTCCTGGATTCTCGCGTTTTTTAGTTGTGGTTCCACTAGAGGTCACAATTTTTATTCGATTTAAAAAACAAAACGTTCGAAAATATCATAATGACGAATTTCGTGGAAAATCGGAACGAAATTGTCCGCTCCTTGTACGCAAATAGTATAAATTAAGTATGTAAAACCAAGGTTGTGAAACCTTTAGAGGTCAGAACTTTTGTCCGATTTTGACGATACTTAACGTGTATGTTTATATCCCATAAATCTCGGTTCCTTTCGATATATTGAACCGTAACTTCTTGGATTATGGCTCCTGATTGTCCGAAAAATTGCGTTTGTTAATTTTTAGCTTGTCCTCTGTCCACCTCTTGCAAAATGTGGGCGTGTATTGCATGACAACCTTTAGTTTAGGATGTCCTGTGAAATCTGGGTATGCGCTTTTGAGTTATTACAATCATTTATTACACAACATTTATAGCCTTCAACATTTATCCACTAATATACTGAAAAATATCTGTCACTTTTCCATACAATTTTAAGCCCAAATCTGGGCAAGTAACCTTCCTAGCATGCAACCAAAATGTCAGTGGTAACATATCCCTGCTAGGCAATGTATGGTGGTTGACAATGATCATGTAGAATCTCAGCTCGTTTACATGAAATGAAATGGGGATTACCGTTCAACTGATATGCTCGGACTCGGCTAATGAAGACAGCCATTTTTATGCAGGGAAATATTGCATCACAGCCTACTCTTACCGATATATCGCATTCCATCTGCCACGGGCTTTTTTTTTTTACCTAGACATTAATGTGTACATGGGAACTCAGTTTTTTGTCCCACCCGAATGACTATACGTTGTCCCATGCCATGCCCTGAATCACCGACAAGGGGGAACCATTCCCTGAACACAGACAATCATATTTTTTTTCTACTGTGAGATCAGTGAGATCAATACCGTGGAAGCAGATCTTAAGTCACCAGCAACTACCTGTGTGCATTGCCGGATTAACCATTAGGCAGGGGCGCATAAGCATATTTTCCCGGGGGGTGAAGGGGGGTGGCATAAAAAAAATAGGCCCACTTAGCATTAGAAAATCATATCGGCCCACCATATTAATAAAACGCTGCCCCCTCTAGAAGCGTAATTGGACACAACAAAATAAGAAAATTCGCGGCATAATCTCAAAATTTGTATTCAAAAATAAAGTACAAGAAGACAGACAGTGATCATCATTACATGAAATAATGCAAGATGTTCACGTTCTATTTCTTGGAATATCGCCCCAATTGACCATGACAAAAGGCAATGGGCGAATTCTTAGACAGAAAGATAGTTCGGTTTGATTAACGAGAGTCTGACCATTACCAATTACCGGCACTATCACCAGGTCTGTTGGCACAGATCTTATTGATAGCTAATTTCTTGCAGTTTCAGTAAATATCTATAGAAATTATATGCATCTAAAAGTCGAGGATACCTATAATCCGATACTTCGTTTTGTGTTGGGCATCAGTGAGGTCCTTTTCGAGGGAGAGAATTAGCAAATCCTCCAATCGACCCTGCTTCATCAGAGATAGAAGGGCAGATTTTACTAACTTCAACTTAGAAAAGTAACGTTCACTAGATGCCGACGGTATATAATAATTAAGTTATGTTTAATTCACTCAGTTGAATATTTATTTGTAGGTCTCATTTTGGTTTGGTTGAATGTGTAAGAGACTCCAGCAAACTGGCCCATTTTCCCCCCAAAACCGACCAACTCGGCAAAAAAATCGGCCCATTTGTCTATTTGTTGTGCACCCCTGGCCTTAGGGCCAGCCAAAAATCCAGGTCACAAAAAAATAAAGTAAAAAAAACGTTGTGATCTAGGTACTATAATCTTATAGTTATTACAGTACTGTCAACAAAAAAGAATTGGTTCTGAATTTTTTTGTAATAAATTTTCTCTTATTTAACTTTCTTTCAGGCCACCTATCAAAATGTGCCATAAGGCCAGCAGAGCTTTAATCCCACACTGACTTTATGCACTATCTGGAAACATAAGGAATGGAAATGAAATGGGTTTTTAAAGTCCTATATTTCTGCACCAACAGGGCTAATGAGGGCATACAACATGCAGTGTGCTGGGAGGGATATTTTGCTCAGATAGCCGCACTATTATGTTTTTTATGTGAATGCCAATGTGTACATACTACACAGGACCATGTTTTTTCCTCCTATCCGAATGACTAGACACTGTTCCCTTGCCAGGTCCTCTCTCCTGCATCACTGGAAAATCCTGAGTAACTTTTTAGGCCAACCAGAGAGAGAGAGAGAGAGAGAGAGAGAGAGAGAGGGGGATTCCACACAAAGTAGCATTTCGGGACAAGCTGGGAATCAAAACCATGCTGCAAGACGCCATGACAGCCCTTATGATCTAAAGCACACACATTGTACTATTCGGCCACCCAACACCCCGTTTCTCTCATTGACCTAAGTGGGTACATGTTCAATTTGTTTTTAGGCAGCTCCTCTGCAGTTACATATTTCATACAATATCTAATATTTCACGACTTATTCCATGCTAAAACATACTTAAATTCATCCTAGAAACATAACCAAAATATCAACAATTTATAATCTCCCTGATAAAAAAAAGAGGCGCCATCAAAAGATTTTCCCCAACACTTACAGGTGGTTCTGATTTGTTTATATCAACTCCAGATGCAAACTGCACGCAGCGATCCATCTACGTCATACGTCATTATGATCACTGCCCCAGTTAGCCGCCATTCAAAATGCTCACATGATCAATTTGGGGCGGGACTTATCGACTGGACTACAGCTTTGTGTAAACAACAGAGTAAAAATAACCCGATCACGCACGTGTTTTATGTAAACACAAAATTTCAACTTCCGCCAATCCGGTAAAAGCGATATATAATATGCGCTAGTGGGTAATATTGCAATACATTCTTTACCATTGTAAACTGTCTTTAGTGTTTCAAACTGTTTATCTTTCAACACAAGGTTAGATACTCCTAAATTTGTCTTCGCAAACAAAACCGCCATATTGAATAATTAGAGGACTATTTTGTGATTCGGCTTTGATTAGTTTGACATCTTTCATACACAAAACGGGTAAATAAACATATTCAATTTCATTCAATATGACAATAGAAGAGAAATAAATACTTCTAAAAATTACTAAAAGCATACTCAGTGTTTTCGACTAAAATCGTTGATGTAGGAATTAAAATGTCAGGTAATTAGCTTAGGGCCTGTTCTCAGGCGGAGCTAGCTGTAGACAGGCAGCCTAAGTTTGGGATGCTCCAGATGATGTCCAATGTAGCATTAAAAATTCCCAAAGTATGTAACGCTAAAGTCACTGATTGCCATCATTCTGCTCACAGAGATCCATCTACTTCATACTTTGAGAATAGATCTCTGTCCTAAACGACCGCCATATCTAACAATTAGTATACTGTTTTGTAATGCGGTTCTACTCCATTTCACAAATTAAACCCTTTTAGTTTTATTAAATGAAAGCAGAATATAAACTTCTCAAAATTTGCGAAATATACTTTGTGTTTCCGACTAAAATCGTTGATTTAAGACTTAAAATGTCGGTCAATTAGCTTAGCGTCTGTTCTCAAGCTGAGGTAAATGTAGACAGGCAACCTAAGTTTAGTATGTGTTGGTCATTTGAGGAATTTTGAATTCCTTTGCAAACTACAATATTTTTAAAGTTGAATGTCTAAAACAAATATCAGTGCAAAAATGTTTGGGGAAATTTTCAATTCATAAAACATTTTTTGTACTGATTCAAATTTCACAATATTGTAGTTTGCAAAAAGATTCAAAATCCCTAAAATTTTGATCAATGACCTTAACGTTCACATTAATTACGATATTTTATGATATTAAAATGTAAATATTGCATTGTGGTAATCTCATATTAATTGCAGATATATATGGTAAGCAAGAAGTCAAAAACATAAATTGTTAAGGCAGACAGGTGGCTATTGTGACTGATGTTCAGATAAAATGACACTATATTTTGATTGACAATTTGTCAGAGAATAAGGTTTAATATGAGTACAAGTAGTGAATCTGATTCATGATTTTATAGCACTTGTTAAAAGTATGTCTGGATGATCTAATCTGCCCACTGTAGTCCCAGAGTTAAGTAGAAGAAACTGTATATTTCACTGACTTCCTCAATCTACAAAAAAAATACATAAAAAAACAAACTAGTTTAATCCTTTAGTAGAGTGTCCCACCATAAACAGATATCTCCAAATATTTCGACAATTATACCATAATATATATATATAAAACCAGCCTTAACTTACAATACCATCTCATATTTATAGTTCCCAAATAAATGGTTGTGAGAGAGGTCATTTCGGGACTAACATATGGTTTAATTTTATTTCAATAATTTGCTTGCATGTAGGGGTCTTTAGTAGTGGGAGGAAACCGGAGGACCTGGAGAAAACACACGAGGTTGGACAGGCGACCCTAATCCTTGTCACGTACAACCAGGGATTCGAAACCGCGCCAGTTGACTCAATGACAGGCCTTATGATAAATGGTTGTGTTGATATAACAAGTTATAACCAGTTAAACATCAATAAAAAAAAAATAGACTAAAAAAGCTTACTAGACCACGTCATTACATCCGGTCATTTTTTAGTGCAAAATAGGTTACGTGCCCTTGGTTTGAAATTAGTCGCTCTTAACGAGTCTACTGACCGTTCTCCTGCTGATTGACATGCAGAGATAATCAAGACTATTTTCTATGAAATGTTACAGAAAGATAGATCCATAAATCTAATTTAGAAACATGCACATTAGGCAACTCAGCAATTATTTTAAGAACCTTGTAAAAACAAAAGGAAGATACTACTAGTATGCTATTCTTGCCTAACCAAGGAGCTTTGGAGATATTAATTTTACTAAATCAAAAGATGCCGCTCCAAACGAAAATTTCACGTGCGATGGCTATTTATAGTGCTGAATATTCTTGTGCTCCGTCCTAAAGAATCAAACCTGGAGACATTCTTAGTTGAGAGTTCAGTTCCCTTACCACTCAACTACCACATTTCCCCTCAATTAGCATAAAGAATTAAGTTACAAGGAACAAAGCAATAGCATAAACAAAACTTACTATTTTCGAGGTAGGTTTGCCAGCACCGTGACCAGACTTGGTATCAATTCTGATTATCAGAGGATTTGACTGAAAAAAATCAAAGACAAACATTGTTATTAATGTTGACCAGGGCTCTCACCTACGTTGTGATTTATAGGCAGTGAAATAGAACTTCTCAAGAACTTACCTGCCATTCAGTTCTACCTTAAAACTTTAAAACACAATGAATACAGTAGAATTCATAGTTTTCATGTGCGCAAACACTTTAAAATTGTAAAAATGAAAAAATAAATTGGAAATAATATTTTGCTAATCAGAAGTAAAATGATTGTCAAAACAGAATAGTTTTAATTAATGTAGATATTGATTTAATCGTTTCATAATGTGGAGAGCGATCACCAGGTTATCATCACAGACAACTTAAAGTTTCTGTGTTTACAGGAGAACATGCCTCATTGTATAATAGAAATAGGCCATTATGGGTATAACAGCTTATGGTTCTTCACCAACTGGGTTAATGATGACAGGTCTACGTCATGTAGAGTGCTATGAGGAAAATATTGTCATCAGCCTAGACACAGGCCATCCATCTTGAACCATAAACATGGATAAACTCTTTTTTACTGCTGAAAGTGCCTTTTCTCAGACCCAAATATGTCCGTTCCCAAACTGGTGCAGGGATCCTAAATGACTCAAACCATCGACTCAAACACACCAGTCTGGTCTAATTAATGCTTCCACTTTCAAACGAATTCTTGTTGTTTAGCTGACAGTGCCCTTATCCTATAGAGTGACTATAGGATAATTTCCTTGGCCCCCCCCCCAAAAAAACCCTCTCAGCGGCGTGCCCCGTCTCCGCGGTCAGTGCCCTCATTTTGCAGCGCCCCCCTTTTTCAGAATTCCTAGATCCGCCCCTGAACCACCCTGGTAAATCCTGAGGAACTTTCTCAACTAACAACTTAAGTGAACCTAGGAACACCTGGCTCCCCATAAATAAAACAAGAAAGGTAACTCTAACCTGTTTTTCACTTGAACCAACAGTTCTTTGTACTTCTGCTATATATTTCAGTGAATGAAGGGGAACAACTCTATCATCATGATCACCGGTTAACAACAACATGGAGGGATACTGAATATCACCATCAGGTTTTTTTATGTTATGATATGGCGAATATCTGGAAAAGAACAAACACATAATGTTAGAATAAAATGGGGTTTAACATCCTACTTTTCTGAACCAACTAAGCTAATTAAGATGGGTATACACCATGCAGTGTGCTATATCATAGACATACTGTCTGATTCACAGATTTTGGATTTATGATAGGATTTACTAAAAAGAGTTTTTACCCAGTGGCGTAGGTCACGCCATGGTGTCTAAGGGTGGCTTGCCTATTCCCCCTCTTCTTGTCAACAGTTCACTTGGAAGTTCTATTTTATGGTGGTTTGCTAAATTTAAATAAACTTCACAAGGGCATTCTTTGGAACATTCCCAACCAAAGAGGCAAACTGCAGGATTGTTCCAGACAGAGCTGAACTTGTTTGGCTATAACTTACTTAATAAGCCACTGGAATTCATCTGGTTTATCAGAGCAACCATAGTCAGTTGTCCATGCGTGACCAATTGTAAACTTGTGAAACCGTAACATATCTAGAACACTATAAAATAAAACACAAAAACATGATTTATTAACCTGTTAAAGCAGACGTTAAAGCACCAGGTGGTAGTAGTAGTATGATTTATCAAGCTATTGGGAACCAAATGATTAAGCTTATAAACTTTAACTTAATAATAGCCATTTGCAAAATTCCTGGTCAAGATGCAATTGACATTTAATCATGGGTTCCATGTCAGCTGTATGTGCCAGTCGGGACCAAGGGCATTTGAAAATAACCAAAACTTGACCAGACCCATAGGTCATTTTGCCGCCAAAAAAGTAACATATTTTGTGCTAAATCATAAAAATAGCACCACTTTCACTGTGTGAAAAATGACCAATGACTGGCTGGGAAAATTTTGAAGTGGAAGCCCTGCATTTAATGGTTATTGCATTATTATGGATGTTATGAGGAGATACATTCTACCACATATCATAAATTTCTTGACTGGTCCATTACTTTCAGGAAAACTCTTTATTATAGGTCACAAAGTTAGTTTCAAATAAAGACACATTTTGTTGGCATTTTGTCATGTTGCTCATTCAAAATGTTTATTAAATGAACAGTTCACTAAGAAACACTTTCCACCTGCCTAAGCAATGAGTTAACTAAGATACATACTACATTGTACCTGAGCGATGAGTTAAGACACCTATCCCACCTGAGCAAAGAGTTAAGATACCTACCAAACCTGAGCAAAGAGTTCATTAAGATAATACCCCAAATGGGCAAAGAGTTAATTATGATACCTACCCCACCTGGGAAATAGCTGCACCAAATAAATCTGGTCTTTGATTAGAGCAGGCACAAACTAATAGACCACCATTAGATCCACCTTGTATAGCTATTCTGCAATCATGAAAATTATTAACAATAGTGAAAATCATTATTTGTTAGAATGAATGTTATAAATTAAAATGAACTTTATTACTTATAATGAACATTATTACTTATAATGAACATTATTACTTATAATGAATTTTATTAATTAAAAAGAATTTTATTTTATTAATTATAATGAATTTTATTAATTATAATGAATTTTATTAATTATAATGAACATTATTAATTATAATGAACATTATTAATTATAATGACAATTATTAATTATAAGGAACATTATTAATTATAAGGAACATTATTAATTATAAGGAACATTATTAATTATAATGAAAATTAACTAAAATAAAAGTTATTAATCAAAATTAATTATAATGAAAATTTTTAAAGTATTAATTATAATGAAAAGTATTAACTATTATGAAAATTAGGGTTAAACTAATTAATTTTAATGAAACTAATCAAAACTATTTATTATAATGAAAATTATTAATCATAATGAAAATTATTAATCATAATGAAAATTATTAATTATAATGAAAAGAAAATTATTAATCATAATGAAAATTATTAATCATAATGAAAATTATTAATCATAATGAAAATTATTAATCATAATGAAAAGTGTGTTTACCTTCGAGCAGATGTATACTTTTCCTGTATCAAATATTCCGCAGCAGACTGGAAATCATTAAACCCATTTTGTTTGTTGTCCAGGGTACCAGCTTTATGCCAGGTTTCTCCATATTCTCTAGAAAACAAGCCAACAGTGAGGCTGATGTCCCCCGCCAAAATCCCCAAATAAATAGATTACACATATTAATTAATCGCACATCTATTTTTTTTCCAAAGTATCAAGCAGTCAAACTGATTATCAACTATACTCTAAGTTTCATCACTCTTTATCAGATAGAATCAAAGTTATCTTGTCCCAAAGCAGGAAATTGCTTATCTTTGCTTAGCTTTAGCTCGATATGTTAATCATTGAACTCAGTCAAGACGATCATCTACATCAAGTTTAAACATTCTACCTCAATTAGAAGAAGAGTTGTTATGTTCCAAAGTCGTGACCAATCAAAATGCGTATTGCTCGTTAGCCTAAGCAGAAAATTCTCATCATCGAACTTAGTCAAGGTATTGATGTAATGAAACTATACACCAAGTGTCATCACTCTCACTTAATGAGAACTAAAGTTATCGTATCCCAAAGCATCAACCAATCAAATTGCTTATCTCTGCTTACCCTAAGCAGAAAATGCTTATCTTCACACTCCATCAAGGCATTGACCTAATAAACACCTACACCAAGTTTGAACATTCTAGCTCAATTAGAAGGAGGGTTATTGTGTTCCAAAGTCTCGGCCAATCAAATTGCTTATTGCTCTGCTTACCCTGAGCAGAAAATGCTCATCATCGAACTTAGTCAAGGTATTGATGTAATGAAACTATACACCAAGTTCCATCACTCCCACTTAATTGGAACTAAAGTTATCGAGTCCCGAAGCATCAACCAATCAAATTGCTTATCTTTGCTTACCCAAAGCAGAAAATGCTTATCTTCACATTCCATCAAGGCATTGACCTAATAAACACCTACACCAAGTTTGAACATTCTAGCTTGATTAGAAGGAGGGTTATTGTGTTCCAAAGTCTCGGCCAATCAAATTGCTTATCGCTCTGCTTACCCTGAGCAGAAAATGCTCATTATCGAACTTAGTCAAGGTATTGATGTAATGAAACTATACACCAAGTTTCATCTCTCTCACTTAATTAGAACTAAAGTTATCGTGTCCCAAAGCATCAACCAATCAAATTGCTTATCTCTGCTTACCCTAAGCCGAAAATGCTCATCTTCGAACTCCATCAAGGCATTGACCTAGTAAACACCTACACTAAGTTTATACATTCTAGCTCAATTAGAAGGAGAGTTATTGTGTCCCAAAAAGTGTGACGCACAGACAGACGGACAGACAGACAGACGGACGAACCCATTTTAATAGTCCCCTGCTTTCTTCGAAAGGCGGGGGACAATAAACAAAAAGAGTTATTATAAATTTCATCAACAATTAACAAAACTGAAAGGGGCAGATAATATGAAGAGGTCTTTTTAAAGTTATATTATCCATTCCTGTCTAACTGCTTACCCAGTATAGTGACCACCATTTGATTTTGATGGAGAACTAACATTCCACACCAAATATTAGCCAGTCTAGACCATATTTAGATGTAACAGAACTTACCCTCCACCTCTAATATTAGCCAGTCTAGACCATATTTAGATGTTACAGAACTTACCCTCCACCTCTAATATTAGCAAGAGCGTAGACCATATTTAGATGTTGTAGTAGAACCAAACGAGAAGGGGAGAAGGTTGGACTGATAGAAACACTGAATCCACCATAACCATATAATAATACAGCATGACTTCCATCTAATTTTAGACCCTAGAGACAAAAAACATTAACATAAACTTCAACCATCTGCAAATGTCTACTTTGAAAATGCAGATTGGCTAACAACCAGATGCTACAGGGGCTGAAGATTCGTCTTGGAAAACACATGGATCGAAACATTTAGGAACTTTGAGACAAAATATGAAATGAAATGAAATGAAATCGGGTTTAACGTCCTACTGTTCTGCTCCTAACCTGGGCTAATGAAGACGGGCATATGCCATACAGTGTGCTATGAGGGAAATTTTGCCCGGGCAGCGGCACTATCGCCTGCTCTTATATCGAATTCCAACTGCCAAGGGATCTTTTACGTGCATTCCAATGTATACACGGGACCTCAGTTTTTCGTCTCATCCGAATGACTAGACAGCTGTCCTTGTCAGGCCCTCCGTCCTGCATCACTGACAAGGGGAAACCACGCTGGAAAATCTGGATGAACTTTCTCGGCCAATGCAGGGATCGAACACCCGACCTCCAGGCTTGCGAGCCAGCGTCTTACCCACTTAGCCACGTGATCCCCCGAAACAACATATATTTATATGGTTAGACAAACATGTGGGAGGATTTTGAAATGTTTTGAAATTGCTTATGGAGATCTTTTTATTAGTTGTATTTACCTTTTTATGAACGATAAACATTGGTATCTTCGTACCATCTTTACTGGCATAAAACACTTGCTTTGTTTCAAAACCACTCACATCAAAATTTTTTACTTTTATTTCCCGAAAAACCTGAATAAGAAAAAGATTTGTCATCAGATCTGCAATGGTTTATTTAATCTAATTAAAATACAATACCTTAATTTATAAATCAAACAGGGCCAAGATCTAAAAATTTCTTTCACTGAGAGAGCCCTAAGATCTAAATATATCTTTCATTGGTCAATCCCCAAGGACCAATACCTGAAACTATCTTTCATTGGCCGTTCACCAAACACCAAGACATAGAACTGCTTTTCGTTAGCCAAGAACCAAGGACCAATACCTACCTGAAACAGTTTTTTATTGGCCAAGCACCAAAGACGGAGACCTAAAACTGTCTTTCATTGGCTGAGCACCATATATGAGAATCTATTACTTACCGTTGGTGTATAAACATCTGATGTCATATCACATCTATAGATAACACCTGGTGTTAAAAACGACATAAACTGATAAAATATCTGAAAATATACAAAAAATACAGAGAAATGAAATGAAATGGGGTTTAACGTTCCACTGTTCTGCTCCAACTGGGCTAACGAAGATGCGCATACGCCATACATTGTACTATGAGTGGAATTTTGCCCAAACAATGGCACTAATGCCTACTTTTCTATCGAAATCTGCCAAGGGATCTTTTACGTGAATGTGAATGTGTACACAGAACCTCAGTTTTTGTCCCATCCAAATGACTAGACAGCTGTCCTTGTCAGGCCCAGCGGCCTGCACCACTGACAAGGGGAAACCACACCAGAAAATCTTGAGAAACTTTCTCTTAAATTAACATTTAACAAGAAAACAAAATACCAACAGCCGATGATCACCTGAATTAAAAGATATCCATTAAATTTTTTTACTCAAAACATTTAGGTGAAACTGGCTTTTTATATTGCCGAATGTCTATTTCAAACAAAATGAAAGCCTATTGAAAATATTGATACACCAAATTTTGTATTGTGTAGGATCCATAATACAATATTTCAATATAACTATTTTTATAAAAATTATAACTGACCTCGGTATCCTTAGTACGTCCAGAATATCCCACAACAGTTCCAACATCTAATGGTAATTCTGACTTTCTTACACCGGTTGATAAATCATACACATATAATTTGTTCTGTAAAATAAACAAAACACTATTAATACCAATTATAAATGCAAGGAAATGGGTTTAACATCCTACTTTTCTGCACTAATGAAGACAGGTATACGCCATACAGTGGGTCAGTGGCACTATGGCTTACTCTTATTTGAATTCAAACTGTCAAGGGTTCTTTTACATCTCATCCAAACAACTAGACACAACGAGGAACCCCACTGGAAAATCACGGAAAAGTCGAGAGCAAACCTAAGATAATCTGTTTAGTGAGCCAGCATCTTATTCACTGAGCCACCACTGCTCTCGATTATATACATACTTTATTCTGTTGGAATCCCACTTAACACTGCTGTAATGGAAGCAAATTTCTGTTCCAAATTATGACTAGTCAATAGTCCAATTAACAACCAATAGCTAACTGCGTAACAATATCATTACGCTTTAAACAGAGCTCCAAATTGGACCAAATATGTTTACGTAACGTTACGTCATGACTCATGATTTTATTATGCCCAATTAACCAGTGCTTAGCAGAAAAACTAATTGCGTGACAAACGAGGCTATCAACACAGATACAATGTAAACAATACTGCTTGGAGACAAACAATACTTTCAACGTTTTTAATAACTTAAATCACTGTCCAAAGTTTTAGATAAGACCCCAGATTAAACGAAGGGCTGTCATGTTGCTGTACATGTACTTGGGAAGGATTTGATTTAACAGGAAGAATAGACACATTCCCTCAAAAGCTCAAGTATCAGAATATGTTGGAATGTATATACATTCTATTGTCTCCATTATACTACCAGCTCTTCATTGACTATGGTGTTTATTAAACCCATGACTTCCCTACATCAATGAAATAGGCATGTTGAATAATGTTGGTGTTAACTGTTCACCAATATTACACAGGTGACAGAAGGAACTTTCTCAGTCTGTGACATCCTGGCTACTAAGTCAATAAAGATACAGTCCATGCTCTGCTTTTATCAAAACCTGATTATTCATTAAAGCAGCGGTTGCCATACAAGATACGGCACGCCCACATTTTTTTTAAACAATCAGGGGCCATAATCTGGTAAGTTATGGTCTGAAATGCGCGAATATTGCAAGAAACTGAGATCTTTGTGATATAAACACATATGTTAATTTTCATCAAAATCAGACAAAATTTGTGACCTCTAGTGGGTCCATATTCCACATCCTTCGTATCAAATACTTTTACACTATTTGCGTACAAGGATCAGCCATTTTGTCAGACACTTTCCTGAAATCTGAACTCAACCTTCATTATGGTGTAATGGTGATATATCTAATCTGATAAAAAATTTTGTACAATCAGGGGTAGTAATCCAGGAAGTTACAGTCCAATATGCGCAAATATCAAAAAGATCCAAGATCTTTGCATTATAAACATACATTTCAAATTTTAATCCATGAAGTTACGGTCCAATACATGCCAATATCGACAGGAACCAACATCTTTGGAGATAACCTATATTTCAAATTGTGTCAAAATCAGATAAAAAAAATTGTGACCTGTAGAGTGTTTACAAACAAATTGTGGACAGACAGACAGGGATATGACAATATACTGGTCATATAAAAACAATCACTAGCTTGTATACATATAGCACAACGTTTGTTATCAAGCATATTGTCCTCAATAACTAAATACCACTCAAGGAGTACGATTATTCACTGTAAGGTTACTGTGTTTTGAACATACAAATCAAAGATTTTTATATCAATACGACCATCATAAAATAAACAACAAATACTCACTTTAACATCTTCTAGATAACAAAGAACTAGTTTATTTTTGTTAACACATCCAACCCACTCTAAAACAGATTTTTCATCTTCTTCAACTAATGTCACCCAATTTTCCTAAAAATATATAACACTATCTTTAATAAATAAAACAGGGTTTTATGTCCTATTTTTCTGCATTAACAGAGCCGATGCAGACTAGAATACGCCATGCATTAGTACGACCTAGTCTTATTTCAAATTCTGAGAGAGGTTTCTTTTACGTACATACCAATATGTGTTTTACGTACATACCAATATGTGTTTTACGTACATACCAATATTTGCACAGGACCATAGCTTTTTTTTTTATATCCCATCCAAATTATTTAAAATACAACCTACTCTTATTTCTAATTCTGTAAAGGGCTTTGTTACAGGACCTCATATTTTTTTCTTATCCCATCCAAACTATTTAAGCTTATCCTTGCAGTTATTTAAAGGAGCTAAGTTTTTAACTTAGTATCATCCACAGTCTTCGGCATTGCAAACACAACTTTTTTATTGGTCAAGTTTAATCAAAATTTGTTTAGTGTTGTTAGCTTACCGTGAAAAGTTGGGCTTCTGATATCCAATAATTAAGACACAATTAAATTTTTAAAATTAGCAGTTGAGCACCAGTTGTATGAAACGACTCAATGAACGAGGCTAAACATATCCCATGCAGGAGAATACAGAGAGAAAAAGAGAAATGGGGTTTAATGTCCACTCGACACAAACTAGGTCATTTCGGTACTAACATATGGTTCAATTTTTATTTAAATAATTCACCTGCGCGTAGGGATCTTTATCTGTGGGAGGAAACCGGAGGACCCAGAGAAACCCACGAGGTTGGCCAGGCGACCCTACTCCTTGTCACGTACAACCGGGGAATAGAAACCATGTGAGTTGACTCAATGACAGACCTTCTGAAACAGCGTGCACGTGCTACCCCCCCCCCTCCCCACAGGAGAATACAGAAATCGAAACGATTGAATGCAAATTAGTTTATATACATTCATATTACATTATTATATGTGTTGCGACCCATTTGTGTCAATTTCTAGGTCCCAAATAATAGCGATTTAACTCATTTAACATCATATGGTAATAAAATATATATACAGTAGAATCTGTATAAGTATTTCACTGTAAAAGCAAGTGCAGAGTGTCTGTATTTTAAGTTTTTTAATGGTCTTGAGCTTAAGACATTGCGTAATATATTGTAAAAACACTCGGGCCAACAGCCCTCTTGTTGTTACAATATATTACTTAAAGTCTCGCTCTCGACCATTAAACAATACATGAAATATATAACATTATCTTTAATAAGTTACTTACCATCTCTGGATTGTTTAAATCAATGTTAATGAGTTTGTATCGTGGAGCCTTTAAATTTGTTTTAAATGTAAAAACACTTCCAACATTTGTAATATACTGAAATAAACGACACACAGGGGAGTTTTAGAATATAATTAAAGAGGACCATGTCACATATTTATTCTGAAAGGCATATAAACATGCATACAGCCTTTTAGAGAGCGTGAGTTGATCACTTAATTAAAAAAAAAGGAGAGCTATTTTGACTCAAGTTGGAACAAAACACAATGTCAGGCAGGCGATCCTACTCCTTGACTTATACAAACATGGTATTGAACTCATGACATCTAGATTCATGACAGACCTTATGATCTAAAGCACATGTTGTAACACTTGGCCACCCACAACTTTGATATACTTCCACTAAAATACTTACCTCATATTCAGCATCAAAATTATCCACCACTTTTACGTAGGGCAATTTACCTGAAACAAAAATCAGCACACACAAAATAGGATTTTGGTCCACCAGTAATTAAAAGAGAAATCCAGTTAGTGCAAAAAGCACAGAACTTTTTAAAAATGTATAAAATAATTTTTAACTTTTTGAAGGCTTGACAGCTTTTAATAGAGGTTACACCACTTTATAAGAGGGTAAACAACATTATAAGAGGGTTAACAACTTTATAAGAGGGTAAACAACTTTATAAGAGGTTACACAACTTTATAAGAGGTTAAACAACTTTATAAGAGGGTAAACAACATTATCAGGGAGTATAGGGTATACAACTTTATTAGAGGTTTTACAACATTATTAGTGTATACAACTTTATTTCAGGATATAGACGGTATTCAACACTATTAGGGGGTATACCACTTTATTATACGGTATGTAACTTTAATAAGAGGATTTTAAACTTGAAGGGGGTTACGGTGGCTAAGTGGGTAAGATGTTGGCACGCTAGTCTGGAGGTAGAGAAAGTTCATCCAGATTTTCCGGCGTCGTTCCCCCATGTCAGTGATGTAAGACAGAGGGCCTGACAAGGACAATTGTCTATTCGTTCGGATGGTACGAAAAACCAAGGTCCCATGTACACATTGGCGTATACATAAAGGATCCCTTGACAGTTGCAATTCGATGTAAGACTAGGCCATAGTGCCGCTGTCCGGGCAAAATTTCCCTCATAGCACACTGAATGCTGTATGTCGGTCTTCATTAGCCCAGTTCGGAGCAGAACAGTAGGACGTTAAACCCCATTTCATTTCATTTGTCTCACCAGAGACAGAGAGAGAGAGAGCGAGAGAGAGAGAGAGAGAGAGAGAGAGAGAGATGGGGTTTAACGTCCACTCCCACTCGACACAAACTAGGTCTCCCAATCCCATTCAGGTTTACTGAATAAAAATATTGTTTAAAAATAATAAAACATACTCACCATCAATACCATTAGAGAGTGTCTGTGTATCCACGTAATATAGTCTATTAACAGGTTCACAACCTTCTCTAACATACAGTATAATATATCTACCACAATCACTGACCTCACTCCCTCTATAATATATATAATAATATATTTACTACAGTCACTGACCTCACTCCCTCTATAATATATATAATAATATATTTACTACAGTCACTGACCTCACTCCCTCTATAATATGATATATATAACAATATATTAACCACAATCTCTGACCTCACTCCCTCTATAATTATATTACAATATATTTACCATAATCATTGACTTCACCCACTCTATAATATAATCACAAAACAGTGCGAAAATTTCCCTGTTCTCATTATAAACCCCATACTTCAGAGTATGACCAACAAATAACATAATAAATAATGGCATTGTGGTGACACTAGCAACCAACTGTATTTACAATAATCAAATACAAACTCTATCAAAATAAACATACACAATATACGACCAAATCTCCATTATATTATTTGGAATAATTTTATTAATTTCCCTAAAAAATCAGTGTTGACGTGTCAACTAGTGTCGCCTGAAGTGACTCACACAGCTCAATGCACCTGCATTTACACGTAATCTACGGAAGCCCATACACAACTATGGAAAAACTCTTGCAACAATATGAAAATAATTTCCCTCTAATTCCTACGTCAAATGAGGGAAATAATATTTATCATTTATCTGTATTCCTTGAAATTTGTGCAGTGCTTTTAGGCCTGATGGTCCAGGGCTTCGATCCCAGTGTCGGTCGAGAAATTTCTCCTTAACAGTTGTGCAGGCTTAAGAACTGAACAAGATACAGTTCAGATTAAAAGAACAAATTGAGTCTGTCTTTATTAGCCCAGGTACAATTTTCCACATAGCACATCAGCCCTGACTATATTAGCCCTGTGCAAAAGCACGAGGAAGATATACCTCATTTCATTATCTGTATCAGTTGTTATGTAAGCAGTGTTCTCATCTACAAATTCTTCTAGATTGTATATTAAAGCAAGTCACTTTAAGTAAGAGATGTTTTGGTTGAGAAAAAAATACACCTCACTGAACAATCACACCAAGCTACTGGCAAACAACTACATTGGTTAATGGGTAATGCTCAACACCATTGCTACTCTTGATTTCAGTTACTTACATCATCCATTTAGGGTGTTCAGGGAATTCAGCTACCAGGATGTCTTGTGATTGATCCGTTCCAAGTTTGTGATAAAACATTTTCTGATCAACATTACTTGTTGTCTCAGTTCCATCAACCTTTCCTTGCTGTTCCGGATATTTCTGTAACCATGGGAACAATAAAAATAGCATTTACAAAATAAATGTTTGACAGTCATATTTGTAACAATTTTTACCCTGTAGTGTTAGCACAATATTGGGTCTAATCACCCATTGAGAGAATACTCTTTGAATCGTCGCCTAAATAAATCAGTAGCTGTTTTCTATAACTATGTTTATAGTTAATTTATCTGCCAAGTTACTAAATGCCACTTGAAGAATAAGAATAATAACACCCATTGAATTCTTTCCTGGGAATTTGTGACCGGCATCATCCATTTATGACCGCAGTATATGCTGGGAACCAAATAATCTTTAGATAAGTGTTATGTAATATAGGAGATTTTTATTTCTGCCTAATTTCAAACCTTTCCAAATTATTGTTAAAAAATATCCCAACCCGTTTTTAACTTACATTATAAAAGAATCCAGTATGATCATGCATCCAAGCCATACTGCTAAACTTTACTCTTTCTAAAACATCAGGTAGATCTTCTCCGCTTGGTGCTTTCTTAAACTACAAAAAAAAAAAAAACAATAGTTGTTCAGTGAGCCAGTGCAATACTCACTTATTATAAGCCACTGTGACTCTGGATGGTTATTGAGTCCAACACGGTAAGCATCTCACTATAACACTAATCTAGTCTGCCAACCCCAGCAATAGCACTTGGCTGCAGTGTAGTTCAGTATTATAGTTAGTCAGCTGGTGCCATAGCTACTGTGCCACAGTGTTATCTCGCTAGAACACTGATCTAGTCTGTGGACCCCATCAATAGCACTTTGCAAACCAGTATAGTAATTCAGTGAGTCTGTGTCATGGTTAGTGAGATAGCGAGAGAAAGAAGAGAGGAATGGGGTATAACATCCACTTGACACAAACTAGGTCATTTTGGGACTAACACATGGTTCAATTTTATTTCAATAATTCGCTTGTGCGTAGGGGTCCTCAGCAGTGGGAGGAAACCAGAGGACCTGGAGAAAACCCACAAGGTCGGACAGACGACCCTACTCCTTGTCATGTACAACTGAGGAATCAAAACCATGCCAGCTGACTCAATGACAGATGTTATGATACAACGCGAATGCTCTAACCATTCGGATATCTACATACACTGACCTGGCTGGTTATTAAGTCGAATATGGTTAAGAGTCTTGGTCATAACACAGATCTAGTGTGAGGTAATTAGTATCGTGCCCGGAAAGCAGTTTCTACCAACTATTTTTCAATTTGTAACTCACTAACTGTCAACAGTGCTTGCCAATGTGTACACTGTCACATGTTTTTGTCCCATCAAATCAACTAGGTGCACACTATCCTTGTCAGTCCCTTACATACCATCCTTGACAAGTGAAAGCTAGATTGACAACAGTTCTTTGATTCATGACATGATTCGAAAGTGGAACATTCTAGTTTTGAGTCCACTGCCCTGATTACTGCCCTTTTCTGTATAAAAACAAAAATGAAATGGGTTTTGAACGTATGGATAGATACTTACATGTATACTGATCCAATCAGAACCACTTTTACTTAAACCATAGGCATATACAGAACCATCTTCAGTAAACATAGAGCCACTTAATGATATGGTGCCATCCTCCGATAACTTATTAGGATCTAAAAATACCCTAGCTTCTCCATCCAGACTGTCTTGTACATATTTCACACTACAAATATAGAAACATAGCTGGTTGATGCATGATATGCATGGACAGAGATGGACAGAGAACAATATAAAAATAACATTTTTCGTACAATCAGGGGACATAATCAAGGATGTTACGGATCGACATATGTCAATATTGAATCGGATAAAATTTGTGACCTCCAGAGGGTCCACAACCTTGGTATTACCTACTTTTACGCTATTTACGTACACAAGAGCGGCTATTTGTCAGGAAGTCCTGGTCCGGTATTCAACCTGTAATTATGGTGTAATGGTGATATATTTGAACATTTTTTTAGAACATGATTTTTTGTACAATCAGGGGCAATAATCCAGGACGTTACGGTCCGATATGTGCCAATATCAAAAGGAACCAAGATCTCTGGGTTATAAATATACTTTTTAAGTTTCATCAACATCGGATAAAAATTGTGGTTTTTCGTACAATCATGGACAATAATCCATTCAATTCAGTCCGATATGCGCCAAAATGAACCCATCCAAGAACTTTCACTTACCTTTGATTCTGTAAACCTGTATTATAAGAATAATAATAATGATTGCCACGTTTGCTTGGACAACTATATTTTGGATAATCCCAGATTTCCGTTATCCTAAAAAAGAAATCCACAAATATTTAAAAAGTTAACGTTTCATCTTGTACATTATTAAATACAACTTTGTTAATAAACTATTTAATCTAATCTCGAATGGTCATTTTTCTAGAAATGGACCAGATATGTTATTCTGTACGTGCCTTGACAAACGTTTTTGTTTTGTCGGAATAAGAAATTTTATGCACGTAGCCAATTTTTATACACGTAAAATAGTTTCCAATTTGATTTCAAACTGGGCATTTTTCCAGAAAAGGTCCTGATATTTTATTCTGTGCCTCAAAAACAGCTTTTGTTTTGTAAGAATCAGGATCTACCGCAATATAGCAGAGTTAATTTATGAATCCTACCTGTTTTTAATCTGATCTCGAACAGGGCATTTTTCCAGAAATGGACCAGATATCTTATTCTGTGCCTCGACAAAAGCTTTCGTTTCATCAGAATCCGGATCTTCTAGCCATCTGTAGGGATCAGGTATCTACAAAAATTAGACCGGCAATAAGGCACCTGTCACTGACAATGTCGGGCACAAATTTGATGATCGGTTAATATAATACATACAAGATAGTGACTGGAAGAGAATCGCACTACAAACCAACAAAATCAATAAGACAAACCTGTGGGTAAGACATATACATGTACAGTACTAAGTACAAAGACATTACAAGAAATTGATGTAACCAACAAATATCAAATCAAGTGAAAAGATCCTGGGTGCAGCCATAAGTGTCCACTGTGTGGTTAGATCCTTACAAATTTATATACTAGGTTATTAATTATGTCCCTTCCCTTCTGTAGGGATTAATTCTACAAAATTTATATTCTGGTATACAATAATAACAGTGGTCTGGCCCTATTATGGAGGCAGACCACCATTAAATTTCACCATCTTGGTACCCATGTTTATTTCCTCTTACATGTGTGGTAAATATCTTATAGTGTGCTGGCTTATAGTGTGCAGGTTGAACTCTGCCTCTTTTCCGTATATGTTAATAAGTCATGTGATAGCCTATCCTACATTTGCATATCAAAGTTAGTGCTCTGCGTCAGATGCTATGTAGAAGGCGTGAAGGACAAATGAGATGCGGCAGAGCGCAAATGTAAAATGTATAGAGGGAAATGTAAAACGTAGACACGTAAATAAACCTAGCATTTTCCAATAAAACATTTGACACATACATAGCATTTGATGTTCCATATTTAGCTTAGCCCTTAATCATTACCAATATTAGGATTATGTACATTGTAATTTTTACATAATCAATGGAAAAGACATTTTAGCAGAGCATCATTTAACATTGGCAGCGATACCCGTCCATAAATAAATGGTGGTCTGCCTCCTTATATTATACATGAGTTATGTCCCTTCCCTTCTGGGAGGATCAACTATCCACAAAATATTCCACTATTAACAACAGAAAGACAAGCCTTGAAACTACAATTTAGAGTCTCTACAACCAAGGTAAGTGCCGGGTATACGAAAGTTCAGTAGCGTTGCAATTTCAGTATTCAAAAACAAAAACAACGGAAAAGAAACCCTGAAAATGCCAAGTCACCGGGCACCGGCTAAAAAGTAAGACGAGACAGGTTGCAAGGCTCACCTTTGTCCCACTGAAATCATCGACGACACTTTCGTCTCGACGAGCCTCCGGATATTTGAACACGCCCATCTTCTTCCCTACTGGTTTGACATGAATCAAAATAATCAGAAATTTCCAAAAACACAGGCCGGCCAGATTCGTCTTGTTCGTTGTTGCTGTTTACGCGTGTTTGAACCGGAAGATGGACATAAGGACAAAACGACCATAAACCAAAACGGTTATACTTGTCAAAACGGCAATTAATTACAGTCAAAACGGCCATAAATTCGCAACATCCATACACAATATCAATACAATAATTTATTTTATGATCAGTAGTGGAATACCGCGTTTTATCAGTGAAATAAAAGTGTTATTCCACTTGCTAAAGTAGTCCATGCTGTTTTTACCTAAAATGATTGTAAAATCATAAAATAAATAGAACACTTGTCGTTTTGTCGTGAATAACATATTTTATTTCATCTCAAAGCAAGAAAACGTTTATATTTTCACTCATGCTACGCATTCGTGAAAATATAAGTTTTTCTTGCTTCTCGATGAAATAAAATATGTTATTCACTCTAAAACGACAAATATCCTCTATATACGTCAATTTTTTATTATTATTTATATGAACCCAACCATAACCAAGTGGGATTTCTCACCCGTATTCAAGCACCCGGATTCGAAATGAAGTTAGCAAACATATTTCTAGCGCCATATTTATGCCTACCATGGTAATCCGTTATATTGAAATGGGCAGAAATGTGTAGGCTACTATTTAGTGAGAAATTAAAATATAAAGAGCATAGATGATCCCGTGGACGCCGATATATCTACCGACGCAGACATAAAAACACCACCTTTTCTATTAGGTCAGGGCGTAATCAAATATATAGAGGATATTTGTGGTTTTAGAGTGAATAACATATTTTATTTCATCGAGAAGCAAGAAAACTTATATTTTCACGAATGCGTAGCATGAGTGAAAATATAAACGTTTTCTTGCTTCGAGATGAAATAAAATATGTTATTCACGACAAAACGACAAATGTTCTATTTATTTTATGATTTTACAATCATTTTAGGTAAAAACAACATGGACTACTTTGTCCGCTTTGACAACGCGGGGGGTTAGACCGCTTTACATCTTTATCTACTTCTGGTGTATGAATACCTTTGAGAATGCACCTATCGACAAGTCGGCCATATTGTTTTCATAATTTTGTCACTAAAAAGTGTAACTCCAGAAAAAAAGTAGTTCCGGCGGCCAGTGAAATAACAAGTTTTATTTCACTGCTAGACAGTGGAATAACACTTTTATTTCACTGATAAAACGCGGTATTCCACTACTGATCATAAAATAAAGGTGGTTATTGGCTCAAAATGTGTGACTATTTCGAAGACCCAAAAACCTAGTGGTCCTATAGGGAATAAAAATTATGAAATATCCTGCAACCATGACTGTGAAAATTGAAATTACGTATACGCCCCCACCCCCTCCATTAACATCCGTGTTCAACCGGAAAATATTTGCTATTCCGTCTCACCCGGCCGAACACATTATTCCGACGTTTTGAAATTTGAAAGATAAGCGACAGATAAACTGAAGGAAAAGCAAGCAGTTACTATTGCGTAATGGCTGATTTGTCATTCTTTGATCTTTTAGGCAAGTTAGAAATGAAATGCAATGGGGGTTTATCGTCCTACTGTTCTGCTCCTATACTGGGCTAATGAAGACGGGAGGCAAGTTAGAAGGTAGGTTGCCAGGCAACGAAACATACACCCACGACCAGCCCAGTTTACAAGAAACTAAGGAAAGGTTTTGTTTATAATCAACATCAAGTAGATCATCAAGTTGATGTTGGCATAAAAAATAAAAAAAGAAATGTTGGTAGTTGATGTGATTTTTTTGGTTAATTGATGTTGTTAAGAGCTTTGATATAATTTGATTATTTTCTTGAATATCAGGTTGAAACGAACTAATTCATATTGGGGTGGGTGTGTATGATCTTTTAGAACTTTATACACCTGGCCGAACATTACGTACATCAGATAGACTACTTTTAAAGCCCAAAACTGTTCAACTTTTAGTTATCAAGCACCTGTTTTATGGAATAATCTACCATTTAGTTTAAGATGTTGTACATCTCTATATTCTTTTAAAATACAACTTAAAACACATTTATTTAATCAGGCTTTTAACTGACTCTGTATATAATCGTTAACATGTCCACAGGGGCGTAAATGTGGGGGTGGGGTGGGGGCCAGGAAGAAAAATAGTCGGTCGCAAAATCAATGCAGTCGGTCGCAAAATAAGAGCAGTCGGTATCAAAATAAGTGCTCACTGCATACGTCACGTTACTCACACAAAACTTTAGAATAAAATAACCTTGTCAACTTATTATGTTTGAAAAAATGTTGTGTTTCACTCTTATTCTGTTGTGAGTATGTTGGTCTAAGAACAAAATTTTCCCCAGGGAGAAAAATAGTCGGTCTCAAAATAAGTGCAGTCACTGCAGTCGGTCTCAAAATTATGCATCTTCGACTTTATGAATTAATAAGATAAACAAACAATGCCAGGATAGATCCCAAATACTATGTATTTGCGTGAATCCGTGAGCCTAAATTGCATACGTCACACAAAACTATAGTATAAAATAACCATGTCTGCTTGTCATGTTTGAAAAAATGTCTGTCACTCTTATTCTGGTGTATGTTGTTCTATGAAATGTTTTTCCCCCATGGCAAAAAAAAAGTCGGTCTCAAAAAAAGTACTCACCGCAGTCGGTCTCAGACTAAATGAATTAATGAGGTAAACAAACAATCACAAAACAGGCGAATTTGACAGATAGGCCAAAAAATTCTGTCCCATTTCTTATCCTCTCGTTAACGAGAATTTGGTTCCATTTGCTATGGGGGACTAAGTGGGTAAGGCGCTGGCTCGCTAGTCTGGAGGTCGGGTGTTCGATCCCTGCATTGGCCGAGAAAGTTCATCCAGATTTTCCGGCATGGTTCCCCCTTGTCAGTGATGCAGGACGGAGGGCCTGACAAGGACAGCTGTCTAGTCCTTCGGATGAGACGAAAAACCGAGGTCCCGTGTATACATTGGAATGCACGTAAAAGATCCCTTGGCAGTTGGAATTCGATATAAGAGTAGGCGATAGTGCCGCTGCCCGGGCAAAATTTCCCTCATAGCACACTATGGCGTATGCCCGTCTTCATTAGCCCAGGTTAGGAGCAGAACAGTAGGACGTTAAACCCCATTTCATTTCATTTCCATTTGCTATGACATTGACTAAAATTTTCAAGCCCAGTCCCGAAAAATTAAAAGCTCGGTTACATATCTTAAATTTTTTCGCGCCTGCGACGCTCGATTCCGACTATACAAATGTTATGTGGGGCGTCAGACTATACAAATGTTATGTCAACTCTTGCAAAACAGGCGGAATTGACAGGGGCAGATCTCGAGATTCTGTATTATTGACTCACATTTCTGGCCCTCTCGTCCACGAGACTTTCTCCCAGCAATAACCTCAAATGCTAGGATATTGACTCAATTTTTCAAAATTTTCTCAGGTTGCTCAGTGTTATAGGCACAATCATCATATATGACATAAACTTTATGTCAACTTAAATAAAACTGCTTTCCGGCGAAACAACGATCGGCGAACAACAAACTATACAATACTATCCATGTTCTACTGGGACGCTTAATGTTATATCCATTATTTTGTTGACATTAATTGTGGGGTGGAATTGTGGATGGCGTCCTAGATTTGGAACCGACCCACCCCCTATTCCCAGCTTCTAGATCCGCTACTGCACATGACCCCTAGAAAACTGGCACGTGTGGTGCGCGGCTAAGACTGCGTCACTCGTACTTGGGGTACACCCCCCCCCCCCAAAACAAAATAGTTATGTACGCCCCTGCATGTCCATAATCTTGTTCTTTATTTATGATTATACTAGCAGGATACCCGGCTTCGCTCGGGGGTCATAACTCCGAAACCGGAAGTGGTAGACTAACGCCACCTGGCCTATGTTACTCCCCGGTCCGGGCTACCCCTATACCCCAAATTTCAGACTCGGGGCAGATGTAGCTGCCAACCCCGAACAGACAGACTTCGCTTGGGGGTCATAACTCCGAAACCGGAAGTGGTAGACTAACGCCACCTGGCCTATGCTACTCCCCGGTCCGAGCTACCCCTATACCCCAAATTTCAGACTCGGGCAGACCTAGTGTAGCCGCCAACCCCGAACAGACCGGCTTCGCTCGGGGGTCATAACTCCGAAACCGGAAGTGGTAAACTAACGCCACCTGGCCTATGTTACTCCCCGGTCCGAGCTAACCCTATACCCCAAATTTCAGATTCAGGGCAGACCTAGTGTAGCCGCCAACCCCGAACAGACAGACAGACAGACAGACAAACGACAGTCACAAATATATAGATAGATAGATTGCCACTTTGTAAGTGCCCCTGAACATGTTACAGTAAACTTTGCATAAGTCGGATCTAAGTGGACTGACCAATTTTATCCGAGTTAAGCGAAGATCCGACTTAGCTCGATTAGAAATAAACTGCAAGAACCGGATAATAACTGATTCAAAGTAGTGTCGATTAATCGGATGCCGTATAAATTCTATAATGTCAATGTCTGTACTGCGTTCCGGGTTTTTTTTTTCTTGTGATTGTTTATTGATAAGTAAATTATAAAATGAAAAATGAGACATTCGCGTGTTCTGACTTACCCAAAATCCAATACCGCCGGCAATAGATTACAATTCACTAGTACAACAATTCCTGTACATAATATTTTAACATATATAGCGATAATCATATTGACGAAAAACAACAACAGAAGCCACAGAAGACGGTACTAATAGAAAAAAACACGTGTCATTTAAAAAGGCGACAACATATTCCGAGGGGGGCGAATAGAAGATCCTCCTGACTGGTAATGTCAGGAACTCGTTTATTCTATTCGTCGTCTCGTACACAGTAACGACACATTCTGATTGTGAATTTAATAATAAATTACAACTGGATTTAAAATTAATTTATACTGGGGGAATTTCTGAGGGAATCTTTTAGATTATATTGTTGGAGCATTGTTTTCTTCTTTATAAAGCGGTATTTTATTAAAATTACATTGGCAGTTTATACACGTTAGGCAACTCAACGATTGTTTTGAGAACCTTATAAAAGCAAAAGGAAGACACTACTAGTATGCTATTCTTGCCTAACGAAGGAGCTTTGGAGATACATGTATTAATTTTACTATGGACCGTATATAGATGAACAGGCAACGCTCACGAAGCCTTCATAATTCTGGGGGTAATCTAAGACCCCATACGATCAAACTACGGCTTCATATAAAGACTGAATAAAAATCAAAGTAAAAAACAATATTTGAGGTATTAACAGTGAACATATGAATTATAAGGTATTTTTGAAACCATACGAATTTGCAAATAACTTAATTGTCATTTCCATGAAGAATCGTCTTTTGATGAGGTTGGTAGAGTACCCAGTTTTGCTTTCAGATCGAGATTACTAGAATGACCAACACAATATCATCAGTAAGAAAGATTCCAAATACAAAGCTACATATGTAGCTCCGAGCGCAGAAAAGATTACACGCTTGTAACCAGCAAAATGTTTAAAGGAAAGGGTGGTGGGGTCCACAAGATCCTTTGTTTCAGATAATGTAATACTCTTAGTTTCTTGTCAAATGGTGAATGTTGTCACTACCTCACTTCTGTTCTATTTGCAGCATTATACTCGACATAAAGTAGCTGACAATGTATAAAACTCTCGCTAGACAATTATAAACCAGTTCCCCACAAATGTTAAGGATATGGTTGTGAGGTCCCAAAATACCCCTTGTATACGCACCCTTTGAGTCAGCCCTAAATAGAAATGTTTATGTAGGAATGGGACCTAGCGACCCATGTTATATGCCCAGGGGACAATATGGTGTATGCCCGTCTTCGTTAGCCCAGTCAGAGCAGAGCAGTAGGATGTTAAACCTATTTCATTTCACTTCAGATATGCTCTCAACTACAATAAACCATTGGGCGTACATTGTACATGTAATCATGACAGCTTTAAAATTGCATTAAGAGCTAAATTTGTCGAGTGCAGGTCTTTTTCTGGCTATGAATGTTATATATTCTATTATTAGACAATTATTCATATGAATAGCCCATTATCAACTCTATAGAACATCGGATGGCTGATACATTGAATGTATTAGAACACCTACATCATTTAATAACTTAATACATATACTAAAATGAATAATCAAGACTTTGTTTATTATTGTAGCAAAACTCTAAGCTACAAAATGTATATGGTTTCAAAACTTTAAAACACTCATAATTTTGGTTAGAATAAAGTAATTTGACAGAAATTTAATATATTCATTCTTCATTATCTATTTTTAAACTATTATAGCAAGAAGGACCAACTCTTTAACTAAATTTTACATACATGTACATTTTTGTAATGCATCATACATGTACTTACAGATTTCATGTAGGTCTTATCCATGCTAGTACATGTACATGTAGTTTGAGGCAAAAAATAATACTTGTTGGCTCATCAGCAAACACCCTTTTGAGATCATTAACATGTTTTTTTAAATAACATTTATATACATGTACATGTATTCTTTGATATTTCATTAGGACCACTCAGATTCCAAGTTAAAGACGACAGCTCTTTATAATTATGTTTCCAAAGAATTCCATCAATAAATATTCACAGAATCTGATTTGTACTGTATCTCTACAATTATATCATACATGTTCATGTATGTGTACATGTATGTATGTACAGTAAACCTTGCATAAGTCGGATTCGTATAAGTCGCATCTTCAATCTTCGCTCAACTCGGATAAAATCGTTTGGATCCTTTGATCCTGCACGTTGTTCTTATTAAATTTCTGGGCGTACATGTAAGTAGGATTACCTAAGTCGGATCTTTGCTCAACTTGGATCATAATGTTCGGTCCGAGCAACGTAAATCCATACGCCACCTACATCTAGACCTCAATGGCGCCCGCCAAAGCCGTTTAGCAGAAGGGGACGTATTTTTAACAGCTTGTTGTGTTGCACATACTGACTCTAGCGAGGTAAGCAAGGTCTTATTTTCTCACTAAAATGTTCCTTTACATTGTTCAGGCATTCACAGAGACTGACACACAACCGTTTAACATTAGCAGTAAAAAGTTGCCCATTAATATTGACTGGTAACTGATTTTATTTCGACAATAGGCCGATAATGAGACCTACATTCAGAGCTGAACTCGGATAAAATTGGTCAGTCCATTTAGATCCGACTTAAGCAAAGTTTACTGTATTCCAAATTAAGAGAAAATAAATGAAAGTGCCCACATTGTACATATACAAATGTATGACTAAACAGAATTTACACTTTTCATCATCAATACTGATGTCAATCAATAGTATTTCTGTCAATTTTGAATCATTCCAACCAAAAAATAGACCACTCCTTACGTTTTCGTCTTGCATGACTTCATATGTCTACCCACAGAACTGCGATCTCCGAACGCTCTATAACAAATATCGCATTTAAATGGTTTCTCTCCAGTATGAGTTCTGATGTGAGTCACTAAAACACCTCTTTCTCTGAACGATTTGTTACAAAGATCACATTTATACGGTCTTTCCCCAGAATGAATTCTTATATGTTTTCTCAGTGTGTGATCAAGACTAAATGATTTACCACAAACACCACATTCAAATGGTTTCTCTCCAGTATGAATTCTCATGTGTCTGTGTAGCCCTATAAACTGACTGAAAGCTTTGTTACAAATCCCACATTCATATGGCCTTTCACCAGTACCTTTACGAGAAGGAGCAGTGCCGTTGTGAATTTTTTTGTGTCTAGATAAAGAACTGTTGTCACCAAATAATTTACCGCACTCATCGCATTTATAAGGTTTTTCCTGTGTGTGACATCTGATGTGCCTTTGTAATGCGTCTGGACGACTAAATGCCTTATCGCAAAGATCGCATTCAAAAGGTTTTACTCCAGTGTGAATGGCATTATGGGTCCTAAGGTTGCTCCTCCATTTAAATGTTTTATCACAGAGATGACAATCGTAAGTTTTCTTCATACCTGTTTGACTCTTCGTCTCTGGTATCACGAAGTCGATTTTGTTATCTTTTTTATACTGTGCGTAGCATTTTTTTTTGTGCTTAGATAACGAACTGCTATCAGCATATAATTTTCCGCAGGCAGGACATTTGAAAGGCTTTTCCTGCGTGTGAAATCTCACGTGTCTCTGTAGAGAATCCAGACGAGAAAATGCTTTACCACAAACATCACATTTATAAGGTTTTATACCCGTATGAATAGCACTATGGGCACGGAGGTTCCCCCGCCACCTAAATATTCTACCACATACTTCACATCTGTAAGTCTTCTTGGAAAAAGTTTCACTGTTTGTCTCTGATTCACCAACTTGCTCAAGACTATTTTCACCGTCGCTGCTTTTGTTTTCAACAGACTCCTCTTCTTTAACATGTATTTTACAATGTTTCTCCAAATCACTGTAAGATTCAAATTTCTCATCACACAAATTACACTGTTGGACTGGGAAATCTTCCTCTACATCCACGTGGTCCACCGTATCAGCATCACTATTTGTCTCCTCGGAATCACTATTTTGAAATTCATCCACATCACTAATTTTCTCCTCTAATTCTACAAGGCTGGTCGTATCCTTTTTAAATTCACCAACATCCCTAGTTTCAAATTTCTCAACAGCACTATTTTGTTCCTTTAAATCTATGTGGTCAGTTGAATCTTTTTTAAATTTACCACCTACCCTATTTCGAAATTCATCCACATCACTATTGTTCTCTTTTTTGACATGTGTTTGGTTGTGTTTTTGTAAATCATCTTGACGTTGAAATACTTGATCACAAACAACACACTGATAATCACTTTCCAAATCATCAGTAGATTCCTGAAAAAACAAAAGTTTTAGTATTATCAGTAGGGCATACATGCATCAGTAGATTCCTAAAAAGCAACGAACATTATAGTGAGTTACGGAAGATTTAAAACTTATGAGTAATGGAAATGTAACTTATTCTGCTTTCAAAATATTGATATTGTTATGATTTTATGTAATACATGTGACCCGTACTAACATGTACAACTATATTCTTTTATAAAAAATCTATAGAATTCTATGGTACCATACCAATTCCTACAGAAAACAGTTACCCAATCCCCATACTACAGAATACAACAGTATTCCTTTCTATAACGTACATTACTGTAGAATTTCCTACAGAGACCAAATAAAATAAGTCTATGTAAAATACACCCACATTTTGGACAGAGAACAAGCTAAAAAGATAAGTTGCCAGGCAACAAAACATATGCCCACAGCAGCTAATTCGTCCGAGCGGTCATCACAGGATTTCTCATATTTATTCTTTTGTAGGTAATGGGTGCATTTAGAAGACACCGATATCAATTTATTATAGATCAGATGATAACTTTTGTTGTCAGAGCGTTCACAAGATTCAACAAAGTGTAACAAGGGCCATAACTTTAAAAGTTTAAAACAGGAATTGTTGAAATTATACAGGAATTTCGATTTTCTAATCTAAATAATATGATATGTATGAATGACTGAATGTAGGCCTACAGTACAAGTAATTTACAGATCAGATGATAACTTTTGTTGTTAGATATAGGAATGTAATACATATCGGATGATAACTTTTGTCATTAGAGCGTTCACAAGGGGTTCAACAAAGTTAAACACGGGTCATAAGACTAGAAGGTATTAACAGAAATTGCTGAAATTCAATTTATAGGTTTCTTTGTTTTACTAATTTAAATAATGATAATAATGCGTGTGAATTTCATACAGATCAAATAATAACATAATTCAACATAGTGAAACAAGAACTTTTCCGAAAAGCTTTTGACTGTTCGGATGTTTGATGTTATGTAGTCAGAATATCAATGAGTAACATCTAAATTGTGGGATTAGTCTGGTGTGAGAGGAGAACATGGTGGTGCCATCATGAATGGTATTCATTCTTACCATTTTATCTGGATTCGAACTGAAAGATTGTTTACCATTAGATGTACAAATTTTATGGATGCAATGGATGAAAATTGGTCCAATTTTTTCTCCCAACAGAGCAAACTATCTAGCAGATAATATTATGGGTTTGTTTTTAAAAGTTGAACCATGGAAAACATCAAGTCTAAAGAGCAGTTCCGCTCACTGAACATTAGCGCCACCTGTCTTATAACAGAGGGCGCAGTTGTAGTTTTAGCGATTTCTGATTGGTTATAGTTTTAGTTGTATCTATATTCATCATGGGGATCCACAAAACACGAGTAATTCGTAATTTTTACAAAGAATACAAACTATATGCGTACCGTTTTATGATTGTTAAATACAGACAGCCTACTGAACTTTCAAAAAATGTATTTACAATGTTCGCCAATCCATACTAAGTCAAAAGTTTTGGTCAAGTCTACGGAAATAGCACAGTGATCATGTGTGAAATAGTTTCATTTAACGTCCGCTTCAACCGAAGTGATATCGCCGACAATGCACATAGATCATCGTCGTTCGTTGCTTAACGTCCGATTCCACCTTGGGTGATATCGCAGAAAAGCACACACAGTGTGTGAAATAACTTTATTTAACGTCCACTTCCACTGAAGTAAAAATGAAATGAAATGAAATGGGGTTTAACGTCCTACTGTTCTGCTCCGACCTGGGCTAATGAACAAGGGCATACACCATAAAGTGTGCTATGAGGGAAATTTTGCCCGGACAGCGGCACTACGGCCTTCCCTTATATCGAATTCCAACTGTCAAGGGATCTTTTACGTGCATGCCAATGTGTACACGGGGCCTCGGTTTTTCTTCACATCCGAACGACTAGACAGCTGTCCTTGCCAGACCCTCCGTACTGCATCACTAACAAGGGGGAACCATGCCGGAAAATCTGGATGAACTTTCTCGGCCAAGGCAGGGATCGAAAACCCGACCTCCAGACTAGCGAGCCATTCACTGAAGTGATATCGCAGACAATTACATGTTATATATATATATTATATACAGATGAAATATTTACTGGCTGATTAGCGAAAAGGTCAACAGATTAGTTAAAGATACATTATGGGAGATTTTTATAAGGAGTTAGCCATTCTTGCTATAACAGTTCAAAAATAGATGATGAAAGAAGAATTTCAGTCAAATTACTTTATTCTGAACATAGTTATCACCAGTGTAATTTTTGACTAGAAATGGGATTGAATTCCATCTTCACCGATTCTTAGTATGGCCGATCGTTTGATTAACAGGCGTTAACTCCACCTACATCATCTCTGTTGTCTTTTGTCTGCTGTCATCATATCCGAATTTGTGTTTTACCTTTTTGGATTATTATAACAATTGGACAAAATGAGTGAGAGGGTAAATTTTTATTCTTACTTGTATTTTGGGCATGCATTAAATCAATTGAATATAGGACATAATATTATAACACAATTATGATAAATCTATAGGTATACACCAGTGGCGTCGTGCCTATTGGGGAAATAAAAATATTTTTATTGATATTATTAAGACAGAAGACCTGTTCGTCTGTATTAGTCATCACACGGTCTCCAGGAATTGTATAATTTGTCATTATCTGTGTTTAGTTTATTGCACTTTAAATAGTTTAGATGTCATTTGTTAAGGCATCGCTCAACAGCGGCCTCGCTTCGTACACTATCATTTAGTCTCGATCCGGGAGTATGACGTCAACGTAACGGTTATCTCCGCTCACGACGCCATTTAAAATTAAATCAGTCAACGAAATCCCGTTTAAATCCAAGCTGAATCCAAGCCATCCGTGGGTCTACAGAGTTGATTTTGTGCTTGTTGTGTAAATAAAGATCTAATTTATAATTTCTATGACATCTGAAGCCTAAATAAAGACTTGCAATAATCAGATTTAGCTCTTGCATAATGTGTGTTTAAATATTTATATATGTACATAAAGAACAAAAGAAATCGATGGACGATGTACATTTAACTGACGAGGACATACATGTATACATTTATGTAGCAGGTGTTTTAAATAATGTGCAAATGTTATGATATGAAATAATAGGGAAAAAATTAACAGCGAATTAAATAAGAGTAACAATGGGAATTTATTGCTTGTGGCACAATGTCACTGTCTCTGCATCTCATTAGAAAAGTTAAATTATTACTACTCACGTGTATTAGTCAGATTAGTAAACTTGAAGATAAATATATGAGTGTGTCCTCAAGATTACTAAATGTCATTGTGATTAACAACGGAAAGAGGGTAGACCCTACTTGTCGAAACGTCGTACTTTTAGAATAAAACTAGAACTGCGAAGCAGTAATGACGGGTTTCACCGGTGCCCCGTTACCCTTGAACATATGTCACTTCCGGTACCGATGAAACCATTAAACAGGTTTCCATGTAAGCATTACACACATCAAATAAAATGTACGCAGAATCAACCAAATCCGGCAATATCATTTCATTGTATACATTTGTTACATGTAAGTGATCCTGACAAAATTTCATTACTTCCGGTGATAATAAATTATAAATTAGTTTTATGAAATCATAAATGGCATAAGGCATCACACACTGGAAATTTTATGAAAATCGAATAATAATTGACACTTTTATGGACCAAAAACCTTGAAAAGTTACCTGTTGAAAATCGTCTATTTCTCCGCAACTGAACAAGTTAGAAACCATTTTGTGATATCTATATGATCGTATGGGTTCATTCTATTAGTTGATTGGAATCAAATATCATAATTTTAAAAACAATTTAAATCAGACTCATTTGAATAGAATATCTGTTTTGAAGGCTAAAAATACATTTTTTGCCTAAATTACGTCATTTCCGGTGACATTGAAAATGTTAAAATGGTTTGACCTAGTTAAAATTGACATTACGCATCAAATGGTGTCACTTTTATGAAAATCGAATAATAATTGACTTTTTTACAGGCAAACTAGCGTAAAAAGGGACTCATGCAGAATTGCCCATTTCTCGACAACTGCTTATATTACAAACTAATTTTCACATACATTCTCTTCGTATGGATTATTGCTACTAGTTTATGAAAGTTGCGAAAAAATATATTAAAATATGAAAAGCCTGAATTGGTTGTAAATAGCTCATTTTTTCACCTTTTTTCACCTTTAAATCGAAATGATCCGAAAACGAAATAAAAATTAAAAAAACTGAGCGCGATGATTTCTGCGCATTAACAGGGCAAACCGTTTCAGTCATACCAGATTTGAAAAAAATAATATTTGCTTTCAAAAAGTGGTACCGAACTCTCAAAATTGCAGTTTTTGCTAAATTTATGTTACTTCCGTTGCCGAAAGGAAAATGTACTGGTAACAAAAAAAATGACATTTTGGACCGCGGAACATATGAACTTTGTTTTATACAAATCGAACAATAAATAATTAATCCAGGACTGAAAAACTGAATTAGCCAATGGGGGCCAAGGAAAAATACGGTGGCAAAAAATGTTGCAATTTTTGGTCAAATCAGATGACTCTTTAACCCTAAGTAAAATACCACATAAAAATATTCATTAATAAAAAAGTTTTTTGTAAAATTTTAATTTTCAAAATTTGGCGCCTAATATCTCCTAAGATTCGTCGAAAATAAAAAAAAATCCAAAGAACTGTAGCTATGTGCCTTGTCTCTGGCTATGTCAAAATGTATCAAATATTACAATCCGACAATTATTGATAACATTACGGCAAAATATCGAAAAACGACAACTTCGGTGATTTCGGACATTTCGCATTGTCTCAGAACGTTGGAAATAGCTTTATATTCTGATAGCTTTCCTACAGATCATTTATTTTCAATACAATACAGAATATTTTCCACGATGCTACATAAATCGTGAAATTGAACCCCGTAAATCTACTCTATGTTCATTTTCTGAATAAGGTATTAAGCTAAATGGTTTTATTGCTGTTCTGTACACAATTTATTCGCAATAACATAGTAAATTATCTATTATGCTACTGGGTTATCTGGTATTGAAATTAACTTAAATTAGAAAAATCAGTAAATATATTACCAAATAAAATGACAATATTATGTACACTTCATATACAAAATATATTTAGCAGTATTATACTGTATATTTACTATTAATCGTTTCAATTTCAATGCATTGTCATTTCATAATACGCTTGCTTCGTATAATATTTTGAAGACGCCAGATGCATAGGAACCGAGAAAGTAATTAATTCAACTAATATTTTACAACGGTTATTTGAGTCTTTTAAATATTCATGATATATTCTAGATAAAAACATTTAGTTAAATATCTAAAACTCAGTTTCTAGTATTTATTATTGAACGCTATTATAAATTGTGAGTTATTGGTGTAAGATGGATCTAAGTCATGAATCAATATTCAACCATATATATTATGAACTGGAAATGAACATTGAACACCGAACGAAGTCGGTTTGCATTTTACTTTAAACAGTCATAATCCAATCAGCTCATACACGGATAAACATTAAAAATGTCAAACAAAATAATGGTGAGTTGATTCTAAACAGAAAGTTGTTAACACCCGCCACTACTTTTTACACACTGCACATGATCAGTAGTGATTATATTCGCTAGCGCGACCTTTGGTTATCGCGATTTCTTAACTAAGTTAGTCCAACCCTTCCTTGAGCTAAAGGGTTTTTTTTTTCAGGGTTATGGTTCAGGTCTAAAGCAGAGTAAAATGACATCACCATGTCAATGGAGACAGCCATCTTTGAACAGATGGTGGTCCGGACCATCTGCGTTCGGTTTCTAGTTCCAACCACTAGTCGTGAAAAAATTATAACTAATGTCTAAAAGGTTGCCCTGGGCGACTACAGTCTGAACTGTCCTGACCATGCTCTATCGTATGGTATGGCTGTTCACAACCTCGGGTTGAACTATAGGCTGATAATATCACTGACAGGCTAGTAAAATTAGCCCAAATAAAGCCATATCCCAAAACATATTGCACTGCAAAAGTTATCTTTTGATTATCATTTGGTAGGGTATTCTGTATATAAAAACTGAAGTCTCCAAAAATTGGACACCCGGAAAGCAGACAACTCGGACCGAAGACCACTCTGACCAAAAGAAAACCACTCAGACCAACAAATACATTGATAGAAGACCACACGGATCAAGATTAAAAGACAACTCGGACCAACAAATAAAGTGATAATTGTGTTTGTTTTAATACAATTGTTTTCTTTCAAGCCCATTCGGACCAATCTGATTCTGAAAAAAGTGTTGTTTTAATAAATTGATATTTTTATTTTAATAAATTGATATCTGTGTTTGTTTTAATACATTTATTTTCTTTGAAACACTAAGGTGTTATATACTTACCCATGTTAATATTTCATCATAAAGCACATGAAAGAAAATCACTTTTCAAAATGTCAGATACATATATAGTTTGTGAGTCAGTAGTTCGTCCAAGGAGGCTTTTCAGTGTGACAGGTTTGAACGATGGCAGAATAGAACTGGCAATACTGGTATGACTTTAATTTTCATATTATTTAGCCACATGTCTGACTTTAACAATATTGTATTTTGCAGATACCCATATCTGTCTAGAACTCAGTACTGCATGATGGTGAAGGAGTTGACTGCGGTAGCCATCAGTTGTATGGAATTTTCAGCACCCAATGAAAGCACTAGTTTTATTTCACCAAGGGCTAAAAGTACAAGACTGGCATCACCTGCAGTTGATCAAAGTACAAGACTGTCATTAACTGCTGTCAAGAATGAATCAGCCGACCAAAGTACAATCAATCTGTCTCTCGTCAACATGCCCCAAATCATACAGGAAAAGTAAATATACAATCTGATTAAAACACAGATCCTATTTCATTTTGTTTTTATAATTCAAAATTATTTCGTTTTACTTGTCTTTACTACATTAGGATCTGGAAGAGTTGTTATCATTGACGTGTTCTGAATGGTGTGAGGAATTAGCCAATTAAACGGTCTGTTACGGCGAGCTTTAGGCAAGTTTCGCACGGAACTGTGGGTAATCCACTAGTAACATCAATGCTGGTTGGGTAATCAAATGTTTGATGTCATAGCGTAAAAAGACGCTCTATGACCTCTGACGCGACCTATCACTACAACTTGTCAGATCTTCATGTAATGTAGGCCATCAAAGTATAAAAAAACAAAACGAAATATAGATCTGTATTTGAATCAGATTGAGTAAATATAGTTTATCACATTCAGAACGAGTTTATAAAATTATTATGTTTATTATTATACTTCATTTATATTGCCAACATTCAGTTTATGTTGTATTTTATATTGTATTTTTATTGTCAACAGCTGGCTGACAGATGATTCCATCGCTAAAGATTTGTCAACGACAGAGGCAATGGTGACATACAAAGTCGTGGAAAATGGCACCCGGCGAGGCAGGAAAAAACTAGTTTCTAGTGATGGGCACACATTCACTTTTAAAAGACATAACAAGGACAGTACGGATTGGCGGTGCAGCATCAGAAACAAGACTATGGTCTGTCCAGTTGTCATCAGAGAACGAGCCGGGTTCTACAATGCCAACACCGAGCACTCACACACCGCAAAACCAGCTGTCAAGAATCGGGCTGAGGTAAACATTTTATTAAAATACTACTTAATCAATAATACTACAGAATCTATTTAAACATGCATTATGCAAGAGCTAAATCTGCCTATTGCAGGTATTTCTTTAGGCCTGAAATCTTATCTAAATTATTAATTTGACATTAATTAACTTATCCAGACCATAAACAACTCTCGATGTCAAGGCTAGCCTTCAATATCGACTGGATTAGAATCATATATGCTGCAAACTCTCATTGATAATTAAATCAAAACAATGGATAATCGAGACTATGCTTTTTAACGTACTAACTTTAGTAATGATGAACGAGGCTAGGCGGAAATTTACAAAGCTGATATCTCGGTTCATAGTGGACCAATTTGACTGAAATTTTCAACAAGTTACCAATGCCCCTATATTACAAGAAACTAATGATATTATAATTTTTATATATTATTGGATGATATTATAACTTTTATATATTTATTGGATGATATTATAACTTTTATATATTTATTGGATGATATTATAACTTTTATATATTAAAGGAAACTGCTGATATTAAACCTTATTTATATGTTACATGAAACTAATGATGTTATAACTTTTATATATTACAGGGAACTAATGATGTAATAACTTTGCATCAGTGTGTTGTATGTAACAAGATTTTTCAACATTATGATGATTTAGAAAATCATAAGAAAATATGTGTAAAAGAAGAGAAAATTGATGAGGTAGATGAATTTTGTCATGTTAAAGAAGAGAAAACAGACGATGTAGATGAATATTGTCATGTTAAAGAATTGAAAACTAATGATGTAGGTGAATATTGTCATGTTAAAGAAGAGAAAACTCATGACCTAGATGAATATTGTCCTGTTCAGGAAGAAAAAAGTGATGATGTAGATGAATTTTGTCTTGTTGAAACATGCTATCAAAACGGTTGTAAATCAAGTTCTAAATCTGATTTTGGAGCTTTGCAAATAAACACAAGAATTCATTCTGGAGAAAAACATTTTAATTGTGATGTTTGTAGTAAATCATTCACCAAGAAAAGTGGTCTTAAGAAACACATGAGAACTCATACCGAAGAAAACCCTTATCCTTATGATGTTGGTAGTAAATCATTTAGTCGCCCAGGAGCTCAGCACAAACACGCAAGAAGTCATACTGGAGAAAAACCTTATATATGTGATGTTTGTAGGAAATTATTCACTCATCGTTATATTCTAAACTCACACATGAGAATTCACACTGGTGAAAAACCCTTTAGTTGTGATGTTTGTAATAGATCATTCACATTAAAAAGTGATCTAAAGTCACATATGAGAACTCATACTGGTGAAAGACCCTTTATTTGTGATGTTTGTAGTAAATCATTTACCCGAAGAAGTGATCTAAAGAACCACATGAGAATTCATACTGGTGAAAAACCTTATCAATGTGATGTCTGTAGTAAATCATTCATTGAGAGTGGCAATCTGAAGGCACACATGAGAAGGCATACTGGAGAAAAACCTTATAGTTGTAATCTTTGTAATGAATCATTCACCAATAGAAGTCCTCTGCTGTACCACATTAGAAGAAGACATACTGGAGAAAAACCTTATAAATGTGATGTTTGTCATAAATCATTTACCAATAGAGGTTGTCTACAGAAGCACAGGAGAATTCATACAGGAGAAAAACCTTTTAAGTGTGATATTTGTGATAAATCATTCACCACTAGAAGTCAAGTACAAAGCCACATGCGAACACATACTGGAGAAAAACCTTATGAATGTGATATTTGTAGTAAATCATTTGCCCAAAAACTTGGTCTACAGTATCACATGAGAACACATACTGGAGAAAAACCCTTTACATGTGATATTTGTAGTAAATCATTTACCCAAAGAGGTAGTCTACAGAAACACATGAGAACACATACTGGAGAAAAACCTTTTACATGTGATATTTGTAGTAAATCATTTACCCAAAGATGTAGTCTACAGAAACACATGAGAACTCATTCTAAAGAAAAGGCTTTTACATATGATGTTTGTAGTAAGTCATTCACCAAAAAAAGGTAATCTAAAGAGCCATATGAGAACTCATTCTGGAATAAAAATCTTATAACTCTCATGTTTGTATTTAAACGTTTACCCAGAAATGTGGTCTACAGAAGCACATGAGAACTCAAAACTAAAGAAAAACTTTTTAAATGTGAATCATTCACCAAAAGTAGTCATCTAAACAGCTACATGAGAACTAATACTGCAGAAAAGACCTTATAGATGTATTGTGGTATGTCATTCCCGTCTCCATTTTGTGTCAAAATCTGTGATAATTTCTGTCGTAACTTGCTAAACTAAGTTTTTAGTAGAGTAGTGGTGCCCTTAAGGGGGCATAACCAGGCTTCGATGGTGGAAGTTCTCAATTTTTCTCAATGGTATTCCATTAGACATTTTATTCGTTTTGGCGGTTGTGGTCAATCCGTAAATTAATGGTGCCAAGGACGCCAACCTTAAAGAAAACCTTTGAATATGGGCCCTGATCCCAAAATAGCAAGTTGTATCTTATCACCATTTATGTATTTTATTGAATAAATAGAAGTCAATGGAGAGTAAAATTGTATACTGGGTACTACATGTATAATACGGCAGCCAAACCCCATGTTAAGCCTTGACATGGAAATATAGTCCACCTATTGTTTTTTGATGTGTAGATTCAGAAACTGGATGATGCCACCGGCATCCTTGGGGAAAATTTAAATATTCAAGATGACTGCCATAAAACATTTACTGGTTATTTAGTGTGGTAACATTTGTGAAAGATTCTCCCGGACCTAGGTTTGAAGGTGGTTTCTATAAGATTTCGACCCACTGAATCCAATTAGCTTGGGTATTCCCCCTAAAAGTGGCGGCTAATTCAAAATAGGGGGCTCATTTTGATGGGAAGCTCATAAATTTTCATAAAAGGGTGTGTAATATATTGATATATAAGTTTTTGGAGTCAATTATTTCAGATATAAACATAAAATCATGTTCCAACTAACTGGTATTCCAGGTTGAGATCATATTCAAAATAGCAGCCATATTTGGAGGTACATTTCAATGTTAGTAATGTGATAATGTAATTGGTTTTCGGGTTCTTCAAATTCATATCTAAATGGCAAAATGTACCATAACTGAACCAAACGCTAATATGGTTCCCAAATACGACAAAATAGCTAAGTTTAGTAGACCATGGAAGAAAATAGAAATACAATTAAGAACTACCCAGAGGCACTGTACTCATTGTATTCTTTAAAAAAAAAAAAAAACCTTCACAACTAAACACAATCAAAACATTTGAATAGTACCATTTGACCACGGACATGTAAATATAATGATGTAATATACAGGGAGTTGTGGGTACAATGGCCAGAAGGTGATACCTTGGCAGCTTCTCCAAGATTCCAAATGGAGTTCTAGGTGAAACTAAGGAGAGCGAATTGTCAAGCATACATTATGGTCCACTATGACACCAGTTAGATCTATTTGATAAGGCCAACTTCAAGTTTGGTCAATAGTCATGAGATGTAAACAGGGCTAGTGTTAATCCTAGCCCTAACCCTGGACCTAGCCCAAATGTTTACCCTAACCCTAACCTACAATCTCGCCAACAATCACGTACCCTAACCTTATTTACATCTCGGCGACCTTGACGGAAATTGAGAGAGAGAGAAATGGGGTTTAACGTCCACTCGACACAAACTAGGTCATTTTGGGACTAACATATGGTTTTTAATTTTATTTCAATAATTAGCTTGCGCGTAGGATTCTTTAGCAGTGGGAGGAAACCGGAGGACCAGGAGAAAACCCACGAAGTTGGACAGGCGACCCTACTCCTTGTCACGTACAACCGGGGATTCGAAACCACACCAGTCGACTCAATGACAGACTTTATGATACAGCGCGCATGCTAACCATCCAGCCATCCAACCCCCCCGACGAAAATTGAGCTGGCCGTAACAAATAGATTTAACTCTACGACACCCGTCTGTGCCACCTTCTTTACTAGAAAATGAAGGGGAATAAGATGTGGTAAATGCTTGACAGCCTACAGCGTGATACAAAACCCCAGCATTACCTGTGCGTATGAGTGACCTAATAACTGTCAGAAAAAATTCATCTCCACTGAATGATACAGATAAAAAGGGAAGAATCAAACTGTTATACTGATTGTGAGTATTCCAGTGATTCAGGCGAGGCTGAATTAGACAAATTTAAGTGAGGCTGGGTAAGAGAAATATGTGAGCACCAGTTAGCTTTCCACGCGCTATGGTCCGATAGTTCATTGTGTTTGGCCGTGTTAAGAATATCCTTGGGGTAGTTGTTCTTGTCAACGCCCATTCTGTCTTGCTACTAGTCGATTGATACAAGTTTTTACATTACTGTATTTTTCCATGGTCTCCTAAAGCAGCCTAAGCTTAGCTATTATGTTGCACTGGAGAACCATATTGTTTCTTCAGATCATAGGACTTTTAGCTGTTCAGATATGAATTCGGTGATGCCGAAAACCTACTAACATCTAAATGTCGTGCCAAATATGGAGCTCAACCTGAAATACCATTTGGTCGGGATATGTTTTAATACGCCCACATTTTTATGCAATGATTTTTTATTTCACAGAATCAAGAGATAAATAAACTACTAGACTGCAAAATTCCAGAAGCCTCCTTTGTCGCATTTTCGAGATATATTACCTTAAACATGTTAAAAGTGTGGGAAAATCAGGTTGGGGTAGGCTCACTGTGCACACAATAACTTCTAAATTAGCTTTGGTGGCTCGAAGATCTTTATTTAACCAGCTTTGGTGGCAAAATGTTTTTATTTCACAGAATCAAGGGATGCTGAACTGCTTGACAGCAAAATTCCAGAGGTCTCCTATGTTGCATTTGTCAGATATATTACCGTAATCATACTAAAAACATGGGGAAATCGGGTTAGGGTAGGCTCACTGTGCACACAATAACTTCTAAACTATCTTTGGTGGCTCGACGATTTTTCTTTCAACAAATCGACAGATACATAAGGTATAAACAAATTTCATTCACTTTCTATGTTGGCTTATCGAGTTATATCATCGCAAATTTCCTAGCACCCAGATTCGAGGCGAGGTTCGTGGGTTCAATAAGGCAAGGGTACACACACGCCGCACCCACACCAGCTTTGGTGGCAAAATGTTTTTTATTTCACAGAATCAAGGGAGAAATAAACTACTAGACTGCAAAATTCCAGAAGCCTCCTATGTTGCATTTTAAAGATATATTAAAAATATGGGGGAATCATGGGAAGGCTAGGTTCTCTGCACACACAATAACTTCTAAACTCGCTCTGGTGGCTTGATCTATATTTCACCAAATCACTAAATAAAGGGGATTGAAAGCGTCAATTTTCATTATATTTCTATGTTGGCTTATATCATCGCAAAGTTTCTAGCATCCGGATTCGCTGCGAGGTTCGTCTGTTCAATAAAAAAAAGGGGGTACTCCTACGCTGCCTAATCCAAACCAGTTATGGTGGCAACATGTTTTATTTCACAGAATATGAATAAACTACTAAGACAGCTAAACTCCAGAAGCCCCCGTTGTTGCATTTTTGAGATATATTACCGTAAACATACTAAAAATGTGTGTGAATTGGGTTAGGGTAGGCTCACTGCGCACACAATAACTTCTAAACTAGCTTTAATTGGTAGCTCGAAGATCTTTATTTTGCAAAACTTTGGTGTAGAATTGAAGAACAAGGCTTAAATATACATTTTCTGCCAAGTTTTGGTGATTATTCATGATTTGGGGGGGGTATATGGCCGAATGGTTGTGCAGCCGAGTGTTTTTTGTCACTGGCATGGTTTGGATTCCCTGGTTGTACATGACAAGGAGTAGGGTCGCCTGTCCAACCTCGTAGGTTTTCTCCGGGTCTTTCGGTTTCCTCCCACTGCTAAATATTGAAATAAAATTGAACCATGTTAGTCCCGAAATGACCTAGTTTGTGTTGAGTGGATGTTAAAGCCCATTTCTCTCTCTTGGGGCTTAAAGATACAAGAGTTAAAAGGTTGGTTAAATTGTTATAGTTCTTTTTTTTTTGTATTTATTTAGCATAAATGTTCAACCTACGACTGTTCTTAAATGTACTCTCACTTGCACCAATTAAAAATAACCATGTCAGGAAGTGATATTCATAAGCATGCTGCTTGTTTTCGTATCCTTTCGACTGTACAATTGTATGATTATAATAATTATGTAATTATATTGAATAAAAATATTGTTTGGAGCAAATGTACCGTAGGGCGTATGAATAATTGGTGAGCTGTGTCCAAACAGAGTGGTCTTCCAGTTAACCCGAATGATGGATCGCTCTACATTTCAACCAAACCAACCTCTCTCGTATCCTTCCGCCTCAAAATCATGAATATTAATACATAATAAAGCTCACAGAAAATGTATTTTATTCCAACCATTTTTTTCGATTACATACCAAAAGTCAACAATGATGGCCATGCAAAAGGGTGGTGGGGGCGAGAAAAATTAAAAATAATGTTCGCCCTTCTTTTGTGGGGTGACGGCGTACGAATTATTAGTGATCTGTGTCCATATTGGTACATTGATATGATACTGGCAAAATGGCGTCGCGTGGTCGTGCGAAGGTAAATAACAATTTCACGATTTCCGTATCTACCAAAGGAACAGAATGTTTTGCCAGCAATTGTACCAATTATCAAAACCCTACATCGAAATTGAATGGAATAACCTTCCACAGGTAAGAAATTCAACCTATTAGCGACAGGTATAGGCCCATTGCTATAGGCCTACTGTGTCACTGTTTATTTAAGAACATAGAATCGGGAGTGGGCGTGGCAATGGATTCAGGGGAGTAGGTCGTTTCATCCCAAATTTACATGGGTCGTTTCATCCCACTTATATCGGGTCGTTTCATCCCACAAATTTAAAAACCGGTATTACATGAATTTTTAATATTTTATGTCAATGCAATTTTATCATGAAAAATGTCCAACTTCTGCCTTTGCATACGCTTTAGCTTATTTTTCGAATATTTTATTTATACAATATGTCAATGCAATTTTAACATGAATAGTGTCCAAAGAATAAAATTGCACATAGCCACTATTTCGACACGTCATGTTATCTTGCCTCAAATAACCCGGCGTTGAAAAAAAGCATACATGCTGTGTCCACCTTACAACAGGTTACATTTATTTATGATTTATTTTATAATTTATCACACAGTTTAGACCGCAATGTGTTACGATTCGCATTTTGGTATTCTAAATTGATTCTTATTTGGAATTCTTATATTTGGAGTTGTTTAGTTCCATTTTGTGTACGGAAATTAAATCAACGATTAGTTTTAGAATTAATTATGGTTTCGAAATAATATCAATCTAATTTGATAAATAAAAGACAACTAACTAGCTAAATCGCTAACATTTGGGACCTAGAAATTGACACAAGTGGGTCGGAACTCATATAATACTGTTATGAATGTATATAAACTGATATACATTCAATGGTTTCTGTTTTTACTCTAGTTTCAAATCAGTTATGTTCCGCTAAATAAGCCAGCAGTCTCAATCGAATGCAAATTTCTAGCGCCTGGTTATTCCAGTCTACATACGCCGTTTGGTTTGGTGCAATATGTCTAGCCTCGTTCCTCGAGTCTCTTGCTAGAACTGGGGCTGAAACGCATTATGGTACACGATTCGTGTACCAATGGTAAAATGTTTATTTTGTCTTAAATATTGGATATCAGAAGCCCATCTTTTTCCGGTAAGAACACAGCATCAATGTTGATTTAAATTGACAAATAATTTGTGTTTTCAATGTTGAAGATTTTGGATGATATTGAGTTAGAGACTTAGCTACTTTAATATCTTTATTATTGTGAATAATCTGTTTTCAGCCTCACGTAAACCGAAAGAGAAAAACAACTTTTGTCTAATATTAATACATACCGGTACAGTCTTAACTTTTATCGAGTCCGAAAAGTCGTAAAACCGAGTCCGAATTGTCTTTTGTGTTGAGTCCGAAATGACACAGGAGCGAAATGTTGTGATACCCAATGTAGTATTATGCAATACTGATAGTCACTGATGCATGTTGACTGCATGCTATTTATAACCTGTCCTTAGAGGCTACATGTAGCCTATTGAAGGTGTTGGGATGTTATTTCCTTTGATCTCTAATGCATGTTATGAGACATACATGTATCAACCAGTTGTGACGTTGTGACGTCATCAGAGGGTGATAGCTGCATGATATCGCCCTCTGATGAGATCACAACAGGTTTAAATCACTCTGCAATGAAAAAGGTCACAAATTCTTTCTTTGAACATTTTAATCACTTTTTTGTACAATGTTGTCAAACGATTCCGATGACAAACTTTGCCAGGCCCATGTTACTTAGTTTCTTCATCTGACCATCAAGAACTTGTCTGTAACTCTCAAATTCTGGATTGTGTAGTATATCCACGTCAGTTTTAATTGCAATCTGTAAATGTGAAACTATTCCTGTAACTAAATAAGGAATTCGGTGGGTAATATTCATCATTTTATTTTGCTTACATCCAAAACGAATCTAGACATCCAAAAAATAATAGTTCACAGCCAACTGATTTCTGTGTACGGTACAAAATGTATTTATGGACACAGTATTGTTGGCACACTCACTGACGTCTTGTCACTCGAAATTGAAAAGAGTTTATCATTTACATTTACATCTTCGTCACAATCCGAGTACTGTTAAATATTTTCTCCATAAATTCTGCACTTTGACTAACTTTAAATGATTATTTGTTAGAATCTGCGTTTTCTTTTTCAACCATATTTTCTACAAACTGAAGTGCTCAGATCAGTTAACGTCCAAATCGTTTGACAACATTGCCGCACATTTCACATATTAACCCTCAGTTAGGGTAATATAATATTTATCTTGCACACATTACACGAATGAATATTCATTGGAATAGGAATTGTCTGATGGCGGTTGTTGGACCAACATGTAGCCTAGCCAATCTGATTGAAACACAGATATGTGACAGATCCTATTTCGTTTCGTTTTTTTATAGTTAAAAATTTCGTTTTACTTGTCTTTACTACACTAGGATCTGGAAGAGTTGTAATATTACCAGCGTTTTGGTTGAAGTGAGGGATTGGCCAATGAAACGGTCTGTTACGGCAACATCTTCCGTGTCATGCACGGAACTGTGGGTAATCCACTAGAAACGTCAACGCTGACACAACCTTCCAGTACAACTTGTCAGATCTTCATGTACACATATTGTATGCCATCTAAAGTGTAAAAAAGACAAAACAGAATATAGATCTGTATTTGAATCAGATTGGTAGCCTAGCCTATTGCTTTGTAAATTTAGTCTATTATTATAGACTACTACAGATGGAGGCCAGCTTATTGGATGTTATATTATGGTACTGGAATGAAATTGTGTCGTACATGCAATTAAAGTTAAGTCAATGGGCTGTTAAAATATAAACAATTTTGTTTTTTTTGTTTTTTTTTAGATTTCCGAATAAACTTAAGGACCTCAATAGATTTTTAATGTGGGAGAGAAACTGCAGCAGACTTGACAAAAAACCATCAATGCGATCTCTCCTATGCAGTGTTCATTTTAGTAATGACTGTTTTGATCGCACTGGACAAATTGTAAGACTAAAGACTGGTGCAATACCAACAAATTTTGATGTCACAGGACACTTACAGGTAAGCATTTTGCAATTTGTAAACTTTTATTAACTCCTAAATTAACAGTGAGCAAAGACCAGCCAGACCACCATGGTCCAAGACAGATTAACACGTATTCAATACATTGTTTTTATACGCCCACATTGAATTGTGGTCGTATACATGTATTGTCATCGCCCCATTCTGTCGGTCTGACATCCGCAATTGCTTGTGGACGCTCTAGAGGTTAAAGTTAATATCCGATTGATTTTAAATTTATACACAGTGTTTAAAGGTCATGATACAAAGAATCCTATTGATTTTCAACGATTTCCAATAATTACTGCTAGAGTTATGGCCCTTGATCACTTTGAAAACTTATGTGGACGCTCGAGAGACTAAAGTTTAAATCTGATTGATTGACTTTAATTTATACACAGTGTTTAAGGTCATCAGACAAGAAGATTCCTATTGATTTTCAACAATTTCTGATAAAGTGCCAGAGTTATGGACTATGATCACTTTGAAAAAATCTTGTGGATGCTCTAGAGGCTAAAGTTGATACACAGTGTTTAAGGTCATCAGATGAAGAATCCTATTGATTTTCAACGATTTATGATAATTGCTGCCAATTAGTTCTAATTCAATGTAAGTGAGTGATGAAACTTGGTGTATAGTTTCATTACATCAATACCTTGACAAAGGTAAGCAATTTGATTGGTGTAGGCTTTCATTAGGTGAATGCCTTGATGGAGTTCGAAGATGAGCATTTTCTGTTTATGGTAAGCAGAGATAAGCAATTTGATTGGTTGATGCTTTGGGGCACGATAAATTTGTTTATAGTGAAGTGAGAGCGATGAAACTCCGAATATAGATTCATTATATCATTACCTTGACTATGTTCTATGGTGAGAATTTTCAGCCCTGGCTAAGGAGCGATAAGCAATTTGATTGGTCATGACTTTGGAACATAACAACTCTGCTTTTAATTGAGGTAGAATGTTTAAACTTGATGTAGATGTTCAATAGGTGAATGTCTTTCGAGCTGAAGCTAAGAAGAGCTAATCTATTTCATTGGTCGATGCTTTGGGACAAGATAATCTAATTGATTCTATTTGATAGAGAGTGATGAACCTTAGTGTTTAGTTTGATTGCTCGATACTTTTGAAAAAAATAAATGTGCTATTAATTAATATGTGTCCTCTATTTATTTTGGGATTTCGGCGGAGGACATCAGTCTCACTGTTGGCTTGTTTTACACTGTGTTTACGCCTATATATTATATTTTTGATTGACTTTAAATTGATACACAGAGTTTAAGATCTTGTGATGAACAAGTACATATATATTGATTTTCAATTCACCGTGTTCTACAGCAAAACTCTGTGATGCACCGTGAAACTCTGTGATCCACTGCACGCTAGCGATTCGCTATGCATACTCACATACTCGGCGATTCTAGTCTTAAACTCTAGCCGTGTACTGTAGGTCCTAATATTAACTTGTAGGCCCAATAAATATTAACAAATCACACACCCGACAATTAATGAACTGAAGCAGAATCAAGTGACATGGCGTAAAAGGCGACACTCATGTGGCATTGACAGAAAGTGACAGCTTGTCAGACATTGATTTTGCCCCATATGTTCATCCCTATCAGTACTAGCCAATTAGAAATGTGAGCAACAACTGTGACCATGATGGTTCGGAACATTCTACCATTTCTAGGGAAGAAGAACAATCGCTGCAGGCTGCTGCTGATGATGATGTAAATTAGTTCAGAATACCTTGTCTTATTACAGTCCTTCGATTCTCGATAACTTGTCACTTCATTTATGGATCTTCATGCTTCATCAGCGAAAATATATCTGAGAAAACCTATTAATTCTAATAAGTTTACCCTAGCCATAGGGTAATATGGTATTACATGTACAGTATTACAATTCCGACATGGTACGGGATGGATACAATATGCCGGATTAGACAGCATGTCAGAATACCGGTACTCAATGCTGGAAGTATTATACCGGAAGTACTAGATGTAGAGTGCCGAGGTTTGCCGAATGTGTATTTGACATGATAAAGGAGCTAAATCGCTAACATTTTGGACCTAGAAATTGGCACTGAGTCGCAACACATACATGTATAATAATGTAATATGAATTGATATAAACTGTTTTACATTCAATCGTGTCCGTTTTACTGTGAATTATCATCAGTTAAGTTCGGCAAAATACGCCAGAAGTCTCAACCGCAAGTCAGTTTCTAGCGTCTGGTTATTCCAGTCAACACCAATATTATTTATTGCGCATGCTCTCCAAATAAGAATATGATATCACCGTTTGACATGACTTGTGGAATATGTCTAGCCCCATTCTTTGAGCACCTTGTTACAAATGGCGCTGAAACGCATTATGGTACACGATTCGTGTACCAATGGTAAAATGTTTATTTTGCCTTAAATATTGAAAATCAGAAACCCATCTTTTCCAGGTAAGATCACAACACCAATGCTGATTTAAATTGCAAAAAAAATCGTGTTTTCAATGTCGAAGATTTTGGATGATGTTAAGTTACGGACTTAGCTACTTTAACACCCAATGATTGAAGGCCGGATTATCAAATGTTAATTCAACACAAATAGTGTAACGGGACCACTGATTGAAGGCCGGATTATGCAATGTTAATTCAATGGTGTGACGGGACGACTGATTGATATCGTAATTCGGAATATTAAGGTTCCAGACTACTCTAAACTTTTTTGGTTGAAGTAATAAGGAAATAAATCAGGGCATGAAAATGAAGACAGATTGCCGTAGTATTCAGATGTCGGAAGTGACAAGAGTCCACTGTATATGCCCTAGCCTACTTTCTTTGTTCAACAATTGGAAAACCAGGGTCACGTACAGGCCTATGCTGAAAAAAAATTCTATCACATTCATTTAAATGTACCTACCATTGTTAACTCTGTGAATATACGATAGACAGTAAGCGCACAGGCGCAGGGGAAGTGATGTAGACTGCATAGGGTATGTGGCGATCAGTTGTTGGGAGACCGCCGCCAGCATGGAGGTCGGACATTTAAATGCGTTGTATATATCATCTATATGGTTTTAATGGTATAATAAATTCTTATAAACTAATGAGTTTTCACCTCAGTACCTGTACATGTACAATGTAGTTATATCTGACAGACTTAACATCTAGAATTATATATGATCGACTGCAAAATCATCAATATAGGCCTACACCTACTACTAATGTGGAAGACACTTCAAAAAAAGGATATTAATTTACATTGGTGTTTAGGCTACATGTAGGCCTACCTGGCTGTGTTGTTTACATTTCGTTGCTATGGTTACATCAGTCATTTCTATTGCTAGATTTTGATAGCGTGTCGGTTTCACCATAGAACTATGTACAGTTTTCACATAGAAAGATAACACAATTACTATATCCTGATCAACAATAATAGTATTAAAATTTCACTGGTTAGTGGACTTTAGTACTTAATTAGGCCAGGGCCAACTACTTACCTCGATTGAACATCGCTTCCAGCAAGCCGCTCGAGTCGTAGTTGCACTGTCAAAATTAACCAACTTTTTATTCGGGAACAATGTGGGCACGGCATCTGCCTTGAGTTTCGCTCTTTGGTTTTCATATCCCAGTTCCTTCAATCGAGCAAGATAACGTTCGTAAGCAGATAACTGGAAATACTCTGTTGAAATCTCGGTTAATTTTGATATTCATGCATATCAGACTGTAACTTCCTGGATTATGGCCCCTGATTTTACCAAAAAATCAGTCTTATTTTTTTAGCTCATTTTCTGGCATAGTTTGGGCGTATCTTGATGGCAACGGCTTGTTTAATTTTATACTGCAGGAAAATAATGATGTTATAATATTGTCATGTTAAAGAAGAGAAAACTGATGATATAGATGTATATTGTCATGTTAAGGAAGAAAAAACTGATGATGTAGATGAATATGGTCATGTTAAAGAAGAGAAAACTGATGATGTAGATGAATATTGTAATATTAAAGAAGGGAAAACTGATGATGTAGATGAATATGGTCATGTTAAAGAAGAAAAAACTGATGATGTAGATGAATATTGTAATATTAAAGAAGGGAAAACTGATGATGTAAATGTTAAGGAAGAAAAAGGTGTTGATGTAGATGAATCTTGCCTTGATGAAACATGCTATCAAATGGGTTGTAAATCAAGTTCTAAATCTGATTTTGGAGATTTGCAAATAAACACAGAAACTCATACTGAAGAAAAACATTTTAATTGCGATGTTTGTAGTAAATCATTCACAAAAAAAAACGTATAAAGAGACACATGAAAAGTCATACTGGAGAAACACCTTATCATTGTGATGTTTGTAGTAAATCATTTACCCGTAAAAGAAACACATGAAAACTCATACTAGCTGGTAGTTCCTTTAGGAACTGTCTCTGAGTACGCTGACAGTTCCTACCACTTGCTATATAGTCCGATCAGAGACAGTTCCTAAAGGAACTAACTGGTTGGGAGCCCCAAGCTGAAAAAAAAGCTTGAAAACTCTGTATAGTTATGGCACTACATGTATATATATATATATACATCATTATAAAACAAGCCGACAAAGGAGGTGCCACTGTAGTTATGAGCTGTTCTAACTATAAAACCATGGCTTTGGATATATTAAGTGACACAGATAGCTACATAAAAATTGATGCCGAAATGAGCGCAGATACATTCAAAAAGATGAAACAGCTAGTCAACAAATTCACCGATCAGCTGACGGAAAAGGAACACGATTATCTGACGCAATTCATACCTAGAGAGAGCAATTTTTACGGCCTGCCAAAAGTTCATAAAAGCAAGGCTATCAATGAGATATGCTCCTCAGCTACCAGTGAATTTGTCAATATGCCACATCCACCAGATTTAAAAATAAGGCCAATAATTGCGGGGCCAACTTGTTCAACACAACGCCTCAGCAACTTTATTGACATCTTATTGAAACCATATTTATGCCACGTGAAAAGCT